ATTTGTGTGTAATGGGTGTGGGGGGGGGGGGGAGGGGGATGTGAAGAGAAGGAGACCGTCGAGCCTCACCACAACTGGAATTTTCAAGCCGGCTTTTCCAGCAAAATGGAGGGCAACAAGCTTATGTCTTCGTCAGCACGCACTGTCCGTTCTCCCTGTATTAGTCCAATGGCCTATTCCTTACGCGGGACCTACGCGCCGCCAACGGCAACGCAGTAAAGAGACGCACTCTCAGACGATAGCGCCGCCGCCGGCATGTGTCCATGCGTTTCTTTGTTGTTAACCTCGACGGCGCTAACCAATCAAAGTGCCCGAGCCTTACATCAAGGCGGTTCAAAATTCTTGACCTGGATCCGCGTCTTGCATGTTTATTATTTGCCGGGCAGGAGGAAAACTCTTGGGAGGAGGACGGCCGTGCCGGCGGCGTTCTTCCCCGGCCCTTCGACAAGTGGGCCTGGACCACGGAGGAGCTGGAGGCCTTGGTCGCAGTCAGGCAGCTGCTGCTCGTGCCGGCGGCCCGTTTCAACCCGGTATGTGCGAAAGAGAGGGGTGGGGGCAGGGGAGGGGGAGTCGCCGCCTGAGTCTTGCCTTGCCTTGGCGTGGTGACAGGGCGTGTTCAGTAGCTTGTAAGGTAGCCTTGGGCTGCGGGTCCGAGAGATCTACGCCCTCTTACGAATGGCTTGTGTGTTGCTTGATTGGTCGGTTTTGTTCGTGGGCACACCGCGGCGCAATCTCGTCGCGTTTCGAACACAACCCTGTCCGTACGTTGCTCTGCGAGCGACATTTGTTATTGTTGTAGTGCAGGAGCTGATTCTGGCTGATCTGACTTTTTTTGCTATACGCCGCTGCGTAAACTTCACCGTCGTTTTGTTTCTTTCCGCGCGGCATTTCGTACCGTTGACGGGACTTTTTTCCGCATTCCTCTGCGATGTGCTTCTTCAAATTAAGCAGATGGTCTCCTCGTCGTCCCGATGCCTCTTATGAGATGAAGGGTGTGTTTTCGCTTTACTCAAACCCAACCTTACCCCCAGTATTGCTCAATGAGAGATGTGACCTTGTCACGTGCCCGTTTGTTCAACGTGCTTCTACAGTACCCGAACCCTGCTGTATGCGCGCCAACTGTGTGCTCCGTATTTCCTATCGCCGGCACCCTTGTCGGGGGGCGCCGCGCACTTTGTTTTTCGTTCGTACGCCATGCGCCTCAAGGCCCAAGCACTCGAGCGGATGCGAGTCTTTCGGCCACCGACGCTGCAGAAGGCTTACCGCTCCTTGATGGCCTCGAGGCAGATCGACATCGCGCAGGTCAGTGGTCAGTGGGGTACCAGTACGTGGCTAATTGAAATCTCACGGTTTGATTTCGGATTCTGTAGACTCCGAGCACTGGGCGTGTGGGCGGGGCGCGGGGCGCGTGGCGTCGTCCACATCTGTTGTGCGCATTCGACGCCATCTCTGGTGGTGTACGTGCAGTCTCAGGACTATGCGGTGTCGTGCAACAGGATGATGTTCAGGCACATACCCGAAGCAATACACTTGTAGTATGAACTTTTCTCAACCTGTACAACTACAATGTTGTAACAGAAGCCCAAAGAAGCTCCGGACATTGTGCATGACACCGCGCGTGTTAAGATGTGTTACGTTGCAACTCCACCAGCGCACACCTCCAACTGCAGGGCACCGTCCAACCAACCCTGTCGGCTTTTGTCAAGTCAGAGGCGGTCCAGCCATGATGATGAAATACGCGGCCCACTCGTCGGGTGCCCTTTTTTTTCTGATGCAGCAACGCTCGGTTGTAGATCCATAGATGCAAGAAAGGGTATTTATGAATCGTGCGCCTCTTTTTGTGTATACCAGCATACGTCCCAGAAGGATCAAACAAAGCAAGACAGCAGTCGCACCGCGCGAAATCAACCCAAACATATGTAAAAAGCGGGACCTTACCCTTTCCGCCGTGGAAATATTTGACGCCGGTGATGCACGGCCGCCGCTATTGCTGCTGGTGAGACGCAGTATACGTCAGGTTTGTGTAGCTGTTGTCTTGCCATTCTCAATTGTTTCTTGACTTGTTTGTTGTTTTTGTTTCCTTCTTCTGCCGTCCCCGGCCGGTGCTGCGACCCTCCCCCCCCTCCCTACCCAGGCTGCCTGGGCGGCGAACGACTACTCGGTGCAGGACAGCGTGGACCACGAGGTGTACAAGATGGTCGGCAGGCACGGCAAGGGCATGGTGTCGAGGGGAATCGTCGCCGCCGGACGCCTGCACGCCTTGGGGATCGCCGGTGACAATACAGAGCGTTCGTTTGTTCGAGCGCCCTTGCTATCCTTGTCTGCCTGTCGTATGCCAGACAGCCCTTTGAGTGTTCGAGAGGTTTTCCAGGAAAAATCTTCATGGCCGTATTTCGCGACCGATGCACCCGCAACGTGCCAGCCCGCTTCTTTGAAAGCTCCACGTGTGGACTATTGCCCGCCGGCAGAGTAGGAAGGGCCGAACCAGCATTGTCGTGATTGCTCGTCTAATCGAAGGCCGCCAGCGATCACGTCTACTTCTTGATTGGTGTTGTGGGTTGTACCGCTGACGCCTACTCTTGCTCTTTTTTTTTTTTTTTGCAACACAGACGAATGGTCGAGCCCTCTCCCTACCTTCGAGAGTAGGACGCCAAGCAACAACATCATCGACAACCCCATGTGGCTGCCGCTGAAGCTCCTGTGCAGGTGAATCATGCACGCACGGCGTGAGGCGCTTTTCTGTTGGATTTGAGGTGTCAATTTTCAAGAAAAAAGTGGCAACAGATAATCGACGAGGTGTTCGGCGCACAAGGCACCAGCCTCGCGCGCCAACCTGAAAATTCCTTCGGTGACATTGGAAGCCACCGTTTGGTACAAATCATAGGTTCGTGTCTTTCTCCTTGCCAGCTTCCCCCTCCCCTGACGCCAAGATTCAACCTCGCCTCCCTCCCGCCCGCCCGCAGCCCGCCTCGTCCGGATGACTACACCACTCCTCAGCCTCCCGCGGCGCGCCCGGCCTCTTTGGCGGTGAAGGACGTCGGAGGCAACCGCACGATGGTATCGAACCTGCTGGAGTCGGTGGTGTCGGGCAGAGCCAGCTTCGCGGTGGGAATTCCCGCGTCGAGGCCGACGGCTTTAGAGGTCGGCGTCAGCGTCGACGGCATGGGCATGGGTGACGGGGTTCGAGACGTTGGCGGCGGTAGCGGCAGCGGTAGCGGTAGCGGTAGCGGCGGCGGCGGTGGTAGCGGCTCGGCTACCGACGCGGCTGCTGGCACCGCAGTGCCTCCAGCCACTCGCGTGGGCAAGACGGCTAGCGACGCCGCCGCTCCCGCGGCGGGAACGCCTCCGCCATCGTCATCGGGCGCGGCGGCGGCAGCAGCAGCCGCGCCACCGCGCCTAGGTGCGGAAACGGCCGTAACAGGGGGGCACCCGGCGAAACCGGGCGTCGGGAACGAAGCGGCGCAAGGAACGGTGGTCGCCGGTCCCGCTGCTGGCGGCAACAAGAAGGACAGCGCCGCCTCGGGCCTGCAGGAGAGCGTTACCACGGCTACCAGGTACAGGTCCGCCAGGTGCATCGATGCCGACATCATGGCCACCGTCGATGCGGAAGTCAAGCCGCGGGACGATGGTTGCGTGAGCGCCGAGCCTTGGCCCGCTCACGCCGTGGAAGGCGGCAGTGGTCGCGATGTGTACGCGCCGGAGATGGGGTGGGGGTCGACGGCGACGAGCGAAGGGGCCACACCTACTGAGGATGACGGAGTTGCGACGAGCGCCGTGGTGGAAGCGCTGAAGAAGGCCGGGAAGGAAGGGATGACGCTGTCGCAGCTCTGGGGTGCCGCACGCCGTGCAAAGGCGGCAACGGTGAGGAGCACAGCGGCGACTGCGGGGGAGAGCGAGAGGCAGCAGCAGCGGCGGGGGCTGCGGGGAGTGGTCGGCTGTGTGCTGCGGAGCAGCGGGGTTCTGTGCGTGTGCGGCGCGGAGGACGTGAGGTTAGTGGTGTGCTTGCTCCAGGGTAGCGCGCCAGCTAGGGCGGGATCGCTTTCAGCTGATGGATACTCTTTTGGTGGCACGGCGGAAACCCATTTATGGCCGCGTGTCCTTGCGGAAGGATTGGATCTGCGCTGTAGTTTGCAGCGTGCGTGATTTACGTTGAAACCAAGACGTGTGCGCTGCGCTTGTGGTGTGCAGACAGCTGCGTGATGCTCGCGCATGTCACGGGCCTATCGCGCCTTTTCCATGTTCGTCTGTTGATATCGTTGGGGTAGACGGCAGTATGTGGATTCCCGCTTCATACACAGCCTAACGCAATATCTGTTCGTCTTTACCACGTTTTCCAATGCGGTGCGAGAGTGGCCCACATCAGGGCACCACGGAGCAAATGTCTTGGCGCACACCAGCAAGCAGCGAGAATGCGATGAGGGGTTTTTGTAGACCAAAAGAACGGTGCTCCCTGCTTTGAGTGCTACCGCATGCACCCGTCGCCGTTCGAACTACCCTCTACCTTTCAACCACCCTTCCTCACCTTTCACGTCCCGATTACCACGGTGTTGTATGTGTCCCACAGTTCCGGTCAATTTGGGCCGGTGCCTCTTTTCGTTGCTCTCCTTTGCTCTCAACGATCTTGCCTGATCTGTCACCACACCAAGGTACGTGCACGAAGACAGTTGCGGTCTCTTGGTGGTTCCCCCCGGCCCTACGGCCGAATCCGGATCGTTCGGCGCGTCCTCCACCCCGGCCACGGCCCCCGCTACCCCGATGGAGGTCGACGCCGATTCCATGGACGAAGAAGAGGCCTCGGAGAGCGCGACAACAAAGGGCTGGAAGGGTAAAGGGAAGGGGAAGAAGAGGTCGGGGCCGGCAGCGGCGGCCGCCGCACCAAGCAGCCCAGGGCTCGCCTTGAAGGTGCTTCGATCGTGGCTTGTGTTTTTTGTCAACTCTTGTGGTGGTTTTGGAAGACGTTTCCTACCACACTTGTTCGAAAGTCTAGGTTTCATATTTTCTTCGTTTTGCTCTCGCTGCAAGGATTCGCTCTGTATTGGGTAGTCCAAGCTGTTGGGCTTTCGGGGTTGACGGAAGCAGGTGTCCGGTTTTCTTTGGTGCGGTATTACTCGGCACTTCTCCTTTCCCACATCGAACGGTTTCTATCCTCTCCAGGCTCACTCCGAGTTGTGTTGCCCACTAAACCAGAGTTTAGGTGCTGGTTGTAGGAGTGGTGGCTTTGCCATGGCGCTGCTTGCTTTGCTCTGTCTGGCTGGCTATCTATCGATGTTGTGTATATGTGTATTTATCCATCCGTCTTTCTCTCCCTCAGCATCAGGCGCTCTGTGCGTTCCACCCTGGTATTGATGTATTTTTTAGCTGCAGGTGTGCCGCCGGCTACATAGTTACTTGCTGCTCTCGTCTCGTGCGCGTTCTCTATCTGTGTTTCTCTCTCTCTCTCTCCCCCCCCCCCTCTCTCTCTCCCGCTCTCTCTCTCTCTCTGTCTCCCGCTCTCACGCTGTGCACCCACCCGTTCTCTTCGCGTGCTGTCTGCCTGTTCATGGGTGATGCTGCTCTCTTCGATTCGTTGCTTTCGCTGTCGCTTCGAAAAGGACGGCGTGAAGCGCAAGGTTTTGTTCCCTTGGACGACGTTCGACGGGGAGGTAGACCTAAGGTTTCTCAATCGGGTCCGGCAGGGGCTAGTGGCCTACGTCAGGTCCAACCCCGGTTGCCTGGCCGCAGACATCAGGTGGAGTTGATCGTGGATGTTCGCCGAAATTGCATGTTCTTTTCGTGGTCGTGCTCTGTGAATGTGGTTTGTGGTTGGTGCTGTTGTTTTCGGCCTATTCTCTGGTGTTGGTACTGCCGTTTCCTCAAACCAGTCCCACGTGAGAGATTGTTGCGCGGTAGCGTACTGTTTCCGCTCGAAACTTGACGATGCTTCAATCTTTGGTGGAGGAAGGAGTATTTGTTTTCTTCTTGCTTTGAGTTTGAGCTGGAACCCTTCGCGCTTGGGCTTACACTGACGCGTGTGCCGGGCAATGGTTTAAGTCTGTTGCCGTAGCGTACGTTCAGACACCGTCGTCGTATCGGAAGTTCCTTTCACTCCAACCCTGAGAGAGCGCAGTATCGGTGTGCTAGTCAGCTCTGGCCCTGCGCTGCCACAGCGGAAATTTAGGTGGTGGGCTCCGCGTTTATCTTTACCCTCCCGTCGATTGCCCAAGATGGTGGTGACGGCTGCGGGCTATGGGTATTCGGATGAAGCGATGCGAGGACGAGAACATAAGTGCTTTCGTTTGATGGAGTACAGTACCTTGGATGGCCCCGCCCTCGTCATACAGTAGTTTTTGTACCGGCTCTTGCCGTAGCACACCCTTGACGACATATTTAGTTATATTAGCTTGCTGCTGTACCTTGCCCAAGCACGAAGTCTTTCTTAGTCCCAAGACGCGAGAGTTGAATGAATTTCGCACCGCCGCGTGAAGCCATCGACTTTTTCCCCGCTCCCCCAGTCAAAGGGTCTGCTGCGACGGAACGGGGTGCTCGCAGTGATTTCATTTGCAACTCGCGTCTTCACCAACAACCCTGTCTATGCCTACGAGTATTATGCCTCCGCCGTCCGTAGATCTGTGTGAACATCGCATCTGTTTTTTAAGCGTAGGTGTAAAACGCAGCGTCGTTGTTGTCACACCGGATTTTGCTTGTTTTGTAACTTGACTCTCAGGGAGGCGGAGGTGTCGTTCTTGACCATCGGAGAGACGATGCTGCTGCTGAGAGACCTTGTTAGGAGGAAGGTTCTTCGCGACCACTTCGTGCCAGACACCACAGCGGTGAGTCCACGGCGCCCCCCTCTATTGTGTTTTGATAGGTACCACGCGCTTCACCTTTCTGAACCGCGCCGCGTCCACCAGCAATGCGCGCGGTTAGGCGTGGTGATTTGGGGCTACTTCATTGTTTGCGCGAGGAAGGGTTAGGATTTCCCCGGCAAAAAGTCGCGTGCGGTGAACACTTCTTTGTCTTCGAATGCGGGAGGGATTTCTCGCACTCCACACAAAAGTAGTGCCATGCGCGGTGGGACCGGGTACTGGGGTGGATCCTTGTCGATGTCAGATGTTGTACGTAGCTTTTAGTGCGCCGGCCGGTGGTGCCTGATTCGGCCGTCCGGGTGCCTTTGGAAGAGGAAACGAGGATATCCTGTGGTTGTGCGTTATATCTTCTTGCAGAGTGGTACTCGTTAGGATACATGCCCTGCCTATGCTTTTGTCGACACCCTTTGCCCAGTCGACGTTTACAGCAGTGGTTTGGTTTTACATAGGCGTGCCCTGTTTTGGTGAGGTACCTCCGCACTCGTGCAGCAAGGCTGCTGAAGGTGTTCGCCTGAGTTAAACGCAATTATATGAGTCACTTCCGCCGGATTGTGTCATTTCTTGTTGAACATTTTCGACCTATTTTGCAATCAAGGGGGGTAACGCGGCGTGCATGCTCCATCCACACACCGCGCGCTCAATTTTCATGAAGTGCTTCCCCTTCCCTTCCCCACCCGTTGCCTGCCGCCTGAAAATACCAACCGGCTTGTTGGCGTCCCGACATTTTTCTGATATGCAAAGGTGGCGCTCGCCGGTGGCTGGGGGCTTTCACAACAACAGCAGAGCGGCGCGTGGGCGGCAGGAAGCGAACGCGCCTCGGAACAGCACGTGCGCATGGCAGCGACGACCTCCTTCTCCACCGCCCTCGGCTGGCAGGGCATGATGGCGAGGATCAAGGGAATGGCGGAGACGACTGCGTGCCAACCAATGCCGTGTCGCTAACCCAGCCCCTTTTTTGGCGGTAACCATAATGGTGGTCGAGTAGATCATGTTGTGCGGGGTGGAGAACCCTCACTCCGCGCAACGGGGGATGATCGCACCACGTTGTGTTAAAATGGTCAAGCATCCTCGAGGCAGTTACACAGTGCTTCCAACTGTCTCTGGAAGTGAAAGCACCAGAAAATAAATTGAGTCATACGTAGCTGTCATCCGTACGCAAGGAAGTACGCACAAGATGCCGAACACCCTTAGCAGGATGCAGCTCACCCTTCATGCGACTCGCCGAATACCTGCGCTTCGCGCTTGGTGATGTGAGAGCCTGGTCCGGTGAGAACCCGGCGTGCTCCGTCCCGGCTTTGTAGGGATGCGAGGTCAATGGTCAAACGACTACGGCATGCACGACTATGAGTACACCTCCCCCCCCCCCCCCCCCCCAGCCGGCACGGCGTGATAGCCAAGGGGGTTGCGGAAGCAACGAACGGCATGTTCAGCATCACTGCCTGGCCTTGACCCTTTCTCTTGAACGTTTGGTGTTTGTTTGTCTACCTCTTGGGAAGGTACTGTAGCACGGTAGGATAGCGATTCAACACGATGGTGTGCCTCTCTCTCTCACGGTACGTTCGGTCAGTACGCGGACACGCCATCGGCGGATCGGAATTATTTGTCGTTCTCGCTTGCTTGCGTTGTAATACGTTGTGGTTGTACAGTAGTCTCGTGCTGCGCGCGTCGTCATTGCCTTTGCGTTGGTGCCGCGTGGAGACGACCACAAGAGGTTGAAAGATGAGCGTGATTTGTTCTCTGCTATTTGTCGGCTGGTGGTGGAGTGTACCCTCGAATTTTCCGGGACTGGCGGTTGGGCTCGATCGACCGCGATGTTGTTGTGTTTGCATTGCCGATTTGAAATGGCGGGCATTGATTTGTGTTTTTTTGCAAAGTGTGGCGTCCGGTGTGCGACTTTGAAGTTTGGTCGGCGGAGGGGAAGGGCCGATAGCTGATTGCACAAGTGGGCTGTGTGAGTGAATTACTCTTACGAGATAGACTTGCGAATCGCCGTTTGGGTGAAGCATGTTCGTACACATCCGTATGCATGCGCCAGTTCCCGCACTCATCAAATAGGTCTGGAAAGGTAAACGTTCTTGTGAGGGTACCGGAAGCACTGGCCTTCATTGTGGCAACAATCGCCTGTCCCCGCGAGGGGTATCTCTCGAGTTTTGTCATAGGGGGAAGGGTTTTGTTTCGCATTTGAGATACCATATGATGTTGTATTGCAGAGAAGCGGAGCGACAGAGGAGCACCATACATCGGGTCGAATTGCGAGCTATGGAAAATCCGTGCTATCTACTTCACGGATCCCTCCGAGGGTGTTTGTGCCGCGTCTTGAACCAGCCAACCATTGTCACAGCGCTGTAGCCTTGACCTTCTTTGCCTTTTAATGCTCGAAGTCCGACTCCGCCGGCTTTCTCAAGTCTCGCCGCAGAGTAAAGACCATGAAACGTACATATAGATTCCCTCTGGGTGGTGTAGAGTTCTGCACATCTGCAGGGCCCCTTGTCTTGAGCGCGTGTAGTGCACGTTTTGTGCTCATGGGATGCTGTGCTCTCTGTCTGCGATTATTCATGTGTGGCCACTCAGGCTCTATAGACATAAACTTCCACCGTGGCAGAAAAACGTGCATGTTCCGAGATTGGTACAGTCCAGTGCAGGATTCCGCCGCACTGGTTTGGGTACCGATTCGGGAAGCGGCCTAATCATCAAACAGACTGACGGACAGGCCCTTGCCCCCTTTTCGCTGCCAATGTGGAGTCGAATTTATATCTTCGCCGTCCAACTCCCCCCCCCGGAAAGTATGCCGAACTACTGAGCTGCCGGGGCTAGAATGCTGCTGGAGCATCCGCTACCTTCGAGGATTTGTGTAGAAGGATCTGGGTCGTGTGGTCGAACCAAAAGCCAGCTGTAACCCGCAAGAAGAGCCCACGCCCAAAGCTTGAGCTCTGGAGGAACAAAACCATTGAGCGTTTGCCGAGTGGCAAAGTGGCCGAGCGGCTAGAGAAGAGGTATGACACCATCGTGTTCGACAAATATTATGTATGATAGACACCCTGTAGTGCCTACATAATTTTTGCTGTCACAAACGACGTTGCCCTCCTGAAGGCATCCGTCAACGCCATTCCTCCTCTCGTTTTGTTGGGCCAACTTCTTGTAAAAAAAAAAGCGGGGATCCACCCTCGGGTTTGGTGAATGTAGAAGTTTCAACCTAACCGTGGGTGGCTTTGCGGTGGGCATACGTAGGTCGCGAGAGCCTTTCTGAATACATCATGTGAGCACGTGAGAGTGCAAAGTTACGCGCCGCTCATCAAGAGCGGAGTCTCAGATGCTCTGTTACATGCTCTCTGTATGTGTGCTACGTTTGTTTGCTCTCCACCTTGAACGAACCTTCCTCAGTCGATTCTTGGCTGCACCTCGCCCTGGGTTGGATCCTCAAGATGCGCCTCCTCCCATGCGGGCTAGCAGCTCCGTTCCTCTTCGGTCGTCTTGCTCACGGTGAGAAACCCTCCAAATGGTTTCATGGTGTAGACTAGTACATGTAGACCGCGCCAAAGGGCTCAATTATTTCGATCGTATTTGAAAATAATTATGTTCTCTCATGATCCGAGGACTGTTTGGTATGCTATGTATGGCATTTATAAACGTGTACTTCTCCCACGCTATGGGAATGTGATATTTGCTCGTGATCAATATGTGACCTGATGATTCCCACCTTCAGGTGTGAATTCTTGCGTCGACCCGAGCATCGCCGGAAAGTGTACGATCGACGGGGATGGTTCTCTGTAAGTCTCGGCATCAGCCTTGTCATCAGCCTTCTGACTTTCAGAGTTTTCTGTCGGTTGTACCGTTTATAACCACCGTCAACACCACGCCGGATCAAAAGTGACTGCCGCACGAAATCCTTCCGACCCACAACTAGATAATATATATCAGTCTCCTTCAGACGAAAACATGAAGTGGTGATATTGGTTGAAGGTCGCTAGCGAAGTACGAAGTAGCTGCTATACCACACGCCGCCCTTTCCGTTAGGCGCTCTAATTGCTTCATTCATCACGACAGAGCATTCGTTCAACGGACGAGTTGTGTGGCCTTTCGATCAACACAACTGACACCGATAGCGTTTCGTAATCCTTGAACATTTGACGTGATCCCTACAGGTCCATGTCCGATTGCGGGCTGACGAACGACGATCTGGACGACATCAGATCGTGCCTAGAAGCTGCAGGAGTATCAACGATCGTAGAACTGTGAGTCACTCGGCCCCGGCGGTTTTGTGAAAGATGTTAACAGCTATCATGCCAAAAAACCCATAACAATGATTATGCCAAGGAAGAGGTGTGTCGGGAGCTGTGTCGGGAGCTCCGTCGTAGAAGCTTCACCTCGACACCCGATATGAACATTGAGATTTACGCGAGGGAAAGTGTTTACACTCGTCGCGCCATCCGTCACTTCCCTCTGATTGGTTTGGGGATTCATCGGGAACACATGGCTGCTGATGATTTCGCTGGAGGTTCAGGACACCCCAGCGCTTCCAACCCGTACCGTTCACCACGTAGCTCGGTATATTTGTACCCACATCCCGAAAAATGCCAACATATGTATTGTTTGTTTCCCTACTATTGCTGCCGCTGCTGTAAAATTGTTGGATAGGTTGCTCGACACCAATGGCCTGACAGCCCTCAAGCCCGACGTATCAGGATCGTCGGGAACATTCGACGGCATGACTTCTCTGGAGGTTCTGTAAGTTATAGCCCGTGTAGACCTACTTTAGGCTAACTCTCAGAGTGAGACAGCGTGACAAAGGCAGTATACATGTGAAAACGTGAGTAAGTTGAGCACCCTCGTGGCCAAGAAAGCCCTTGAACAGTCAACGATCGATCGTGTTAGTACACGTCTCCCCTGGAAGGAGAGCTATCCATCTGTGGCAGTATCTGCTGACGGAGTGGTGATTTTCGATGGCACCGACTAGAGAACGACAGCAGTTGGCGTTTCTCAGAAAACCTTTCTTTCTCAAATATTTTTCGATTTATTTTTCTTGCAATTTTGTCGACGCTAGACAAATTCGGACTCAAATATTCTCCAGACTAAGGGAACATATTTTGAGTTAAGCCATCGTTCTGTGGATCGTTCCTGACAGTCTCGCCAGAACCCACAACAAGGAAAATACTTTTTCCGGACTCAGAGCGGACGAAGGCTCGTTTTGTGGAAAATTTTCAGATTTTTTCGATAAAACAACTTCTTCTAAGCAACACACCAGACACCACACACACAGTCTGCTCAAAGCACATATCCACCCCCGATCAAAGAGAAACTCAACGCCCAGCGAAAAAGGTCCTGGCGCGCGAAACATGAAGAGAGGGAGGCTGCACGCTCAGGAGGTTAGGTTCGTGACCGGAACCGGGATCGGGACCTTGACCGGGACCAAGACCGGGACCGGGACCAGGACCAGGACCGGGACCGGGAACAGGACTGGAACCGGGACCGGGACCTTGACCGGGACCAGGACCGTCACCGTCACCGGGACCGTCACTGTAACCGGGACCGGGGTCGGGACCATGAAAATTCAGATACACTCGTCGCTATGAAAAACGAGATACATTCTTACTCTTTTTACAATATCAGATGCACAATGAATCAATTAGGGAATGCGACGGCCAGCGGACAGAGTAGATCAGATTGTCGGTACACCATCTCTTCTTTCATCATCCCAGGCCAAGAACCTACAGCCAGCTCTAAGTATGCGTCGCCTTCGAACCCGCCCCACGTGATGCTTAATTTCACGACGACCCCGCTGCTGCTGCACGGCCCCTTCCTGTGGTTCAGTTCTCTATCGGCGAATGAGCTCACCACGTTGCCCGCTGACCTGTTTGGAAGCCTCACCTCCCTGGTATCCTTGTGAGTGAGAAAAAAAATAGTTTTTTTGTGCGAGGGGCACCGTTGATGGGTTCATTTGCAACAACCTAAATAATACAGCATGATTGTTCGGGTGAACAACGAAGATCATGGGAGGAGAACAAAGAGCATAACACATTTACACACGAACTACGTATTTCTTCCAGCATCCGTTGAAAGTAGAATTATCAACCGGCGGAGGAGTAACTAGGGTTGACGCTTCTTCGGCTCAACACCACGAAAACGTCACGGACTCCTTCCGCTGCTTGGCATTCACCCCTTTGTCAGGTTTGTCGACGATAACAGTGACCTAACCTGTCTCCCCGACATCCCGAGCAGGTAACGGTTTTGGAGCGCACTCGTTTCCGGATAGAGTAGTAGTTCTCAAGGCCCGACAAATGTGTATGGTCAAGCCGACCGGTTCATGTGCTCGGCGTGTCCGATACGGTGTCATGTACAGCGCCTAAAAAACAACAGCAAGTTGTCGTCAACGCCGACGGTGTACAGACAACCAATCGGTTGTTGTTGGTCGACAAGAATGTAGTAGAACGTTGACAGAAAACAACGATCGTAGCTCAGCAAACCCTTCGCCCCCCTCCTCAAGCAGTTGGTTCGACCACCCGTCCGCCCCGGCACGGGTCAAAAGTGGATGTCCGATTGCTCCTCGTCGCGGACGCGCAAGGCCGAAAGACACACGTAAATTAACCCTCCTATCTGTAATGTTCCCGTCATTCCTGCAATGCCTTTCGTGGTCTGGTGCAGCGATATGGAAACCATTTCCAGGTCGAACACCGACATCTTCAATAGTGTGTGCGGTGAGTGCCTGGCGCAAGTAAAGATGCGACGAATCGATGATGATACCACATCCTCGCGTAGCGTACAAGCGACGGGTGGCTATGGATCTCGGGTACTTTTTCTCCTGACGCATTTATTTGCTGAATCCACGTTGAAACGAAGCATTCGTTCTCCTATGGGGGGGGGTGTACCTATAGTCGTGCATGCCGTAGTCGTTAGACCATTGACCTCGCATCCCTACAAAGCCGGGACGGAGCACGCCGGGTTCTCACCGGACCAGGCTCTCACATCACCAAGCGCGAAGCGCCGTAAGGTATTCGGCGAGTCGCATGAAGGGTGAGCTGCATCCTGCTAAGGGTGTTCGGCATCTTGTGCTTACTTCCTTGCGTACGGATGACAGCTACGTATGACTCAATTTATTTTCTGGTGCTTTGACTTCCAGAGACAGTTCTAAGCACTGTGTAACCGCCTCGAGGAAGCTTGACCATTTTAACACAACGTGGTGCGATCATCCCCCGTTGCGCGGAGTGAGGGTTCTCCACCCCGCACAACATGATCTACTCAACGACCACAATGGTTACCGCCAAAAAAAAAACGAGGTAAAAATAAACGGTAACAACCTGGTTGCCGAGTTCACGAAGTGAATTGGCTTGTTTTACAAGGTCGTTGCCAAGCGACGAAAATCCAACCCCGATGGCAAACACCGAGTGGGGGGCTTCTCCTATGGGAGGTGTTTTGCGTGGTATTCCTTCGGAGCATTTTCGTGTTTTTCACAAACTCTCAGTCATGTAGTCCCCAAGCTTACCCCCTCACGAACTCGAAGCGGGAACTAGGCCCGACTCTGAAAATTACCCTGCGATTGAAAACCACGTCTATCAGCTCGTGCGCAGCCTAGAGGCAGTTTCTGTCGTGGAGAATGAATCCGAAATTTTGGTGATGATCTGGTATGCGCTCGATCCACATCCTTGCCAAGAAGCGCGAGAGGAAGTAATTCGTGTTTCTCAAATCCATCAAGCGTAGAAACTTCTTGATGAGTCATTAGTTGAGAGTGTGACGTTGCGCGTTACAACCGATTCTGAAGATCTCAACACGGTCGATATCTTCGCTATATCTAGGATTTTCCGCTGCTGTCTGGTAGCACCCGAGTGGGTACACACGATATAGGGTGACCTACCTCGGTTGGTTTCCAGCAGGCCTCATGTGTACTCACGGTGTTTTAGATTCCTACGCATGGATGATGGGCGAGGACTCTGAGCAATCAACTCAGGTCGTCTCCTGTTTGGCGGCGTCTGGTGCTGCACACGCAACACGCGGACCTAGCGATTCCTCCGTTGCGGGGTCTAGCGAGCGACCGCTGCCCTAATTTTGACAACGTCCATGCCGTCGCCTTTCGCCGTACGTACGACTACCGACCACCGCCGGCCAGAATGTGTACCTGATGAATCAATTTTCTGCGACGCGGGCTTGAGCTGCCAACCGGGAGAGATTGGCTACACCTGCGGTGAGAAACACCCTTTTCGTGCGAGTTTTGGTAGCCCCTCGCCCTCGACGTCTTAGGACGGCACGCGCGACGTTTACCAACACTGAACTCATTGATCTTCGGTGCAACAAGTAAATCTGGATGGCATGCACCGTAGTTCCTAGCATACACACACGTGGTAACCAAAAGAAAACTACTCCGACACTCACGCGTTATATTGCTTGGCGTAGAGCAATTTTTTGCAGTGAATTCCCCCGTGAACTCCGACAGAGACCGTGTCATCCATCCATGTGTGGGAAACAGCGACAACAACATAAATCTATTTTTTTGCTCGTGTTTGCTGTGGCGGCAACCGGCTTGCACTCTACTGTAACTCGTTGTTCGGCCTAGTGACAGCGACGCCGTCCCCGACGCCTCCTCCTACCACCCCACCGACTCCGGCTCCCGGTGAGTCCGTCAGATAGTTGCCTGTGGCCGATGGATGTTGTAATTTTGATATGCCGACACTCTCTACGATGTTGCTACAAACATACACCTCGCTTATTTTGGCACGGTGACGAAACGCACCCATCCGAGGCAAGCAGCAGTACCCTCTCTCATTTATACCCCGCCACCAAGTCAGCTTCTCGAACTACAAACCGGCGACAAATGCCACTGAAACGAGAACGGAGTGTGATCAGTGTGTGTCCACCTCTCCGACCCCCCCCCCAACTTGCTCCACCCACCACCACCCAGTATGTTGCCCTGCTTAGCCGCCGTTTTTTCCTCGACCCCCAACCCAATCGTGCACGGTGTGCCGCAGTGATGCCACCGTCACCAGCGCCCACTCCCGCCCCACTAGTGCCTACGCCAGCACCAAGTAGTCCTGCTCCAACGAGGGCACCGACACCAGCACCATCACCATCGCCCATACCCAGCTGTGAGTCATCGAGATACATTTTACGTTTCCGGTTTAGCCTAAGGGTTAGCCTGTACCACATCATCATCGTGTCCGGGACAGAACGAAGCAACGACCTCCTGACCCTCTCGCACCCCTCTGCCCTTGCTGCGCTCATGTGTGTGTATCGCGTCACACGGTATGCAAAGTTTCTTCCTCGGGACGTGCGCGCGAAACCGGCTGCATCTTCTGGGCCACCACGGCCGGCATATTCGCCGCCCTCTTCGTGATGAACCTTTAGTCGATGGGTGTTGTATGAAATGGTTGTGTGAAGGAAGAAAGCGTTAGATGTTGCATCAATGTTTGATTGGTTTTTTTCCTTAGGGAGATATCTTCTCGCCCGAGGATCTGGCGTCATCCGTATCTAGACCGACGCTTGGTTGGGGCAACAACCGGGAAAACAAACTTCGCCACGTAGCTCGATGATTGTTGAAAGCAACGTCAAAAAGGATAGAGTTAGAGACGGGCCGTTCTGCTGCCCCTGTGTGCCACACTTCTAGCGCTCGAACAGGGCACGCCCACCACCGTGAAAAAACAGTGGGGTAGGCAGCTTGTCCTTACTCGCTTGGCTTGTACTCACCACACACTGCCGCCGTGAATCGACGCCGGTCCCTAGAGCGCAGACCCCTCACCAAATGATCAATGACAAGATTGCGGCTTTGTGCCACCCACTTCATGCGACTGACGCGGCTCCCTTCCGCTTCGCGCGACCCCTAACGGGAGCAACATCGAGAAGACACCCGTCAAACAGGCGGGACACACACACGTATTTGTCTATTCTGGCGCCACAGTCTACACGCCTTTCGGTGTGTCGTACTCCTAAATGTTTGACGCATATCAGCCGGGGGTCACAGACAGACAAGAAGAGGGCCACCCACGAATAAATCGCCTCCTACCGCCAACAAACGTAACGAACCAAAGTTTTTTCGACGGTATGACACAAGTAGACCGAACACCATTTTTTTTACTGTAGATAAGTAGCAGGTTCCGAGACTGATCAGGACTGCCTCCAACACTCCCATAGACAGTGTATTTTCTATTTTTGGTCCTCGCTTCCTTGAAACCGGGGCCGTCGGCTAATAGCAGGGGGTGGGTGAGTAAAGTAGTACTACTGCTGCTGGACCACGTTTTTTTGTTTGTTTTACTTGCAAAAATTTCGATTTCCAACAAGAGCTAGCTCCAAAAAAGCACGCCCGAAATCTATCTGTGTACGTACGACATAGATAGTTTACAGCACGACATCGAGAGTATTGAAGTATATATCCATGTGATGTCACGCAGCCCGGGAAAAAAAAGACAGACACACAACAAGAAGAAGGGAGTGGACCTGACGCATAGGAGAGCTTTGAAGAAGACGCCAAAAGGTTGCCGGTGTGGGCAGAAGAAGCAGAAACACTACTGCTTGCGTTTGGCACCGGTGTCGCTTCGTTTGAAAATCCCCAGAGAACTTCGAGGCCTGTGTAGGTCGCGCTACATGTAGGGCGCCGCCGCGAGCTATAATAGTAGCTTTCGTGGGCTCAGCCAAATCGCTACATCATCGTCGTACAAAAGAAAACAGACCAAAAGAGTGAATGAAAACACAAAGCGAGGTGTGTAGGTTTTTCTCTGCCTCGGGTTGGAATTTCCAGAACAGAAACCAATCCTTGGAAAATCCGTGGCGGTTTCTGCCGAGTACGTGTCCGTCGGGCGTGCTTTGTTTCAACGGACAGACGGACGGGTGGTAACAGCCACGGACATGCAGCAAAACGGGGACCGTTCGCGCGAACGCCGTCGTTGACAGCTGTACTAGTAGTTGTTTCGCGTGCGGTGAATCGAATATTTTCAGACCAAGACTCCGACTCCCTCCCATAGGCAGGTCCAACGCGATGCCAACACCTTCAGAAAACAACCGTCCACTGACGCAGTCACGACCTGACCCCAGTTCATGGCACGGCCCTGGTCATCGTGCACCCCAGCGCGGTTGGATCCGCTGCCGAGAGCCCTGGAGGGGGCAACCATGCCCGAACCAAAAATAAAGAAACACCGCTTCTGAAGTAACTACTTAATTCGGACGCTAAACTGCACGATCGCAACAACCGCCTTCCTACGAAAGTGGAAAAGCCGAGGAACACGCTGTGTTCTCGACAAGAAGGCCTATCTCGTCATCGGGATCCAGGCTCACTTTCACACAAAACCGCCGACATCTTCCACGGCAGTTCGTGGCACGCCCGCGCTGGAAGCATCAAACCCATCGAGGCCGATGCCGAGCAACAGCCGTCAAAACATTCTACCACCAGATATTACAACAACTTCTGGTATCGGGTGTTGGGTTGTAGGCGGACACACGTCGCTTGACCGAGTTTGCAACAGGGGAAAGAGAGGAGGGGGTCGACAAATTAAAACAAGCACAAACGAGGGCATCGCTGTTGTCCACTCGGCGCTCACGAAAAAAGACCCGCATCATCTCAAGACACAAAGGAGAAACGACCGACAACATTTGCCAAAAAACATCCCGCTTTCCGCTTATTGTCAATCCAGCTCGGAGAGGTCCGATCCCTGTCCGGAGGAGGGCGCTTGGTTCTCCTTTTGCTGCTGCTGCTGTTGATGTTGCTGCATCTCCTGCACCGCCTGAAGCTCCTGCTGGAGTGCCTTGAGCGCGTCATCACACGCCTCCGCAGCCCTCGCGGATGCCATGCCTTGCTTACCTCGAACCACTAGCAGGGCCTCGCTCAGGGCATCGGCTACCCCTCCGAGCAGAAGCAGCGGCCTGGTCATAGCAAGCGTAGCGAGGCGAGAGGGGAAGATTGGGATATGAATATGACGATGCTGTGTTGCTGTTTGAGACGGGGGCTAGGCCACGGATAGGTCGGTTCCTTCTATCCTACAAAGTGTGTCTCGCATGTCCTGTAACAGACCCTGCTCGCTTGGTGGCGATGTTACGGTGACAGAATGCCGCCGAAGAGAGACCAATAGCGAGAAGAGACCGGGCCTCAAACACAAGTTTTGGCAGGGAGCGACCAACGTGCTCGTGTACAGAACGACCGACGTACTCGTGTACACACCACCAGAGGCAGATATGTCTGGTTCACTATCCTCCTGATACCAGCACCCACACAACGGTAGACTCGAAATCAAAACCGATCCAAACCCGGTCGCAAACCACGATGGTGTATTTACTCCCTCCCCCCCATGGACACAACTAGCATTTTCATCTGACTTCCTTGTACGCCTGGAGTACACGTCCCCTCTGCGTATTTAGCTTCCTTTGCGACGAAACACGCATATCTCCGTTCCATAACGCCTGTCGCTGTCGGTGGGCATCACGTACCCTCGCCCGATATGAACAAATCCGAGGTAAGGAAAACCATCATGTTCGTCTGCTTGAGTACTCGCCGTTTCGTCGAGAATGCGAAACCAACCAACATACGCCGGAGTAACCCCCCCTCACAACACGGCACGCCGTCGTTTGCAAGCAACTATTTTTCATGTCGCTTCGCACTCATACAAAAAAAGAAAAAAAACAGATAAGTACAGCAGCAGCAACCATCCCGAGCGAGATACATTCGTAAGATAATCACATGCACGACACGACACGGCTAAGCCCTTACATATACTGTACCTGCGCCACGTCATCCGCGAACAACAGAGCAAGATCGACTCACACATCACGATCTCCGCCACGTAAGCCTGGTCTAAACACACCAGAGATCCCAAAGCCATCTGGCGATCCGCAAATGCCAAAAAAAAAAAAAGGCATGCACTTCTTGTGCTGCCAAAAGCTCCCTGATTTCGGCCCGTTATTACTGCCCCTGTCACTTACCTAATGCTGGCTTCCTCGGCGAGGTAGGACGTCGCGACAGCGGCCCTGAGGATGAGGTCGTTGGCGTTCGGTATGTCAGGCTCCACTGACAGGAGCCCGCACACCAGAGCTTCGCAGCCGGCCACCTCTTCCGCCATGAAGTTCTTCGCCACCTTAATTAATAAGTTCATGTCGAAAGCGCAAGCAGCATTTCTTGCGTGATCAATGCAGTCATTTCTGATGTGGGCAGTTTTTGGCGTCTAAAATACTACAGAAACTGATTGGTGTGTGGCCGTTCTCCAATTGCGGGAGGGGGGGGGGTCCAAGGGCGGGGGTGATAGCGCCTGAATATCGACGTCATCAGTGCGTGTTCTCATCTCGTGTTGAGTGTGGAGCACACGGGCCGGTCCGGCCGGTCCTAGCGTGTGTTTTGTTTCATCATTGCCGACCATTTTACCTTGAGGGAAAGCGCACCACCACCAAGTGGGGCGAAAGCGAAAGCGCCTTCATCCACCAAAACCTTACTAACGCATCCGTCTCGCACGCATGACACAGCCCGGATCTAGTCTGACAACCCTCTTCTACGGAGACGCCTTCTTTCGCTTCCATCACTGAGGCATATGAACCTCACGAGCATTTCTTGAAATGAATCACACCCCAGATCGGAGCCCGTCTGTTGAAAATGCAGCATCATGTAGGGATACAGACATACGGCTAGGTAAAATACACCCGCTGCCACAAAGAAAGGCTTGCAATCTTCAACTTACAGAGTAAGCAAGATTGTAGAAAGTATCACAGCGCAGCAGGATGCCCACCAGCGCCGCATGAACAAAAATGACAGGTGGACCCCGAACTTGTTCATTTCGAGCCGTCGCCAAACACTTATTTAGACGGCATCGAATCTGTAGGGGGTCGCTGTCAAACAACCCGCATCCCTAACTATTCACAACTCCGGACAACAAAGAAAAGCGGACCTCCTTTGCGACAACGAACGAATGCTGAAACTAAAGACGATATGAAAAAGTCCGCCTTCCACATTCCACGAAAAAAAAAAAAAAAAACACACACACACACACTAAACCTCACCACAAAAAATACATCCTTCTCCTTTGTAGCTGTAGCTCACTCGTTCTCACCTCAGGATCCCTCACAGCCATGGCCAAGCACCCGAGCGCTGCCGCAGCGGTGGGGGGATCCTCCTCGCCCAGCTGAGCGAACGCCGCCCAGAGCTTGAGCGTGTCGACGAGTCTGAGGTGGTCGATCATCTTGGGGTGCGGCAGGAGGTTACACAACGCCTCTGTTGCGGCTCGCCGAACCAGCTCGTGGTCGGAGAACTGCCAGGTTCAGGTCGCGGTTCGGCGGGCAACGATGTGGCGGGAGACGGTGGAGGGGATCGGAAGGGGCTTAACACCGCGCAGGCCGTCGTTGTCAGAGCATTAACCGTGACATGCCTACAAAAACGGGACAATAAGCCAACGTTTTCGTCGACCAGGTTGGGGGGGGGGGCGAGGGTGCCTGATGCACCGCGATGCCAGTACTTCATGGTTCAGATGAGATGTACTACGTGCGCAGTGCGTGCTTGCGATAGTCGTGTGTTGTCCTTGAGACGTCCGCTCTCATTCGTGCATGGGCGTACAGGTACCGAAATCGCCAGGAGCACACGTTCATTTCTGGCGTAACTCTTCCCACCAAGCTCAAGCAAGAGCCAAGAAGACCTACACGTACGGCCCAACGGATATACAGGGCTTCCGTCCACGAATGCTGTCGACAATTTGGGCCTAACGAGGAAAACACGACGGAGCTATTTCCCAACAGCTACGCCAGTAAGGTTGCCCGGGGATGACCGCAGGACAGGTCGAAGGGTGTTCTGCTGTGTATTTCTGTCTCATATATTCTAGCGCGGATCTACAAGTGCACCTTTCGAAGTACTGTACATGCGAATTGTGCGTATCAGCCGGTGTCACACAGGAGGAAGCTACCGTAACACAAGGATTTTCGTTTTCGTTTGCTTGTTCCCTATTCTGCTCGGCCTTTCAAGCCATCGAACGTAAGAAGTAACAGTGACAACAACAACAACAACCTGTAGGTACTGGAAGCACGAGATCCCTTTCTCTGCCACGATGCGATTCTTGACGTTGTCCAAGCTGGCCAGGTTTGTCAGCGCCATCAGGCCTTCAAACTGCTGCAGGTTGAGAGACTCGTGGTCCCTGCACATGGTGATGAGGGCAGGCACCGACCTGACGGCGAGGCAAGGGACACAGGCCAAGGAGGTAGTTGCAAACATAATTTAAGAAGCAGCCAAACAGTCTCACGGGCAGGAGGACTATCGTGATTGATATTGCAAAGACGAACACCGTCCATCGAAGATACGGTGAGAGGTTTTCGATGGGGAGGATACCACAAAAGCCAACAGGGAATGAAGCTGCGGAGGGAGAGAGACGGAGGGAGAGAGACGGAGGGAGGGGAGGGAGGGAAACATGGATACACAGACACGCGGAATGAGAAATAAAACCAGCGGTTGGCACCCTCATCTATCAAAAAGTACGGGGTGTCATTGTCAAGGCAGGAAGACGAAGAAAAAAAGGAGGTCAACAGACATACACCACGGCAAAGGCCCCGGAGGAAGGCACATCAGATCTTTCGTTGGGCGGGCCTCGTTCTCACCCCATATTCTGTGCCTCGGTGAGAAGGCTAGGATTCGTGGTGACCAACGTCTTGGCGATGGCATGCCTCGCCTCGATGCGGCATCCCTTGCCCTTCTCCTCCTCCTGCTGCTGCTCCTTCTTGGCGTCTTCGCCCTTGCCCGCCGCCTTCGGCACCGACGCCATGTTGATCAGCAGGCTCTGCCGTCATTCAAACCGCCGCCACGGTAGCCGATCGTCAAAAACAATGACGCCACAGCAACAACAAAAACCCGGAAAACAGGCGAACAATGACAGGACCACGCGTAAGGATCAATGGCGTTCGAAACCAAGGAAACATCAACCCCAAGATTAGGCAACGAGCTCCGAAAAACGACAGCTTCGATTCAGAGCCTTCTTGTTCGGCTCGCCAACTTCATTTTTAACACTGCAGTGGACGTCGTCAGCGGGACTAAACAGCTACAGCTAGCCATAGGAACCCCTTCCTCCCACGCGGTCCTCGATGCATAGTACTTCGACCGTGGGCGGCTGCGCGGGGGGGGGCGGGGGGCGGTCACCCAACCGTAACGCCAACAACAATGGAAAACCCTGCGTTCCCTCACCAGCCCTCCCTGCTGCACGATCAGCCCTCGGTTCGAGGAGTCGGTGGCCAGCCTGCGGAAGCAGAGGGCGATGCGCTCCCTCGTGGCCGGGCTGGCGTCCTCGGCGATCTTCTTGAGGGAGACCACGCACCCCGCTTCCGCGAGAGCGTGGGACCTAGGGTTGTTGTCGGCCGGCAAGTGGCGACATGGGTGGGGGTTATGAGGTAAGACACAAAAAAGAAAAAAAAAAAAAAGGCGAAAACTACCAGATCAATCAAGTTCTGCCCGCACGAAAATTAGAGCACCATCCTCCTCGCAGAAGCGACGATGCCAGACTTGGTTGGTCTCTACATTATAGATAGCACCCGTACTTGAGAACTTGAGAACTCGAGAACTCGGCAGGTAAGAACTTCATGGTCAACATTACATTACATTACATGAACAAATATGAGAACTCGAACACCGTTTGTAAGCCCGGTTAAGAAGTCCTGCCTAAGACCGGTATAGCGGTCTTGTGTAGCAAGGGGACCAAACCTAGAGGTTCTTATAGGTTTTGAAGTGCGGGCGCTATGTGTATGCATAAAAAACTAAAAAAAAAAACGTCTTAGCGGCCAAGCCAAGACTAAGGGCTGAACACATCATCATCTCTCAGTCGGACAGCCAGGCGAAGACAGCCCGAACACATTGCGTCTGATTCGCACGCAGTTGGAAATTTGTCATGGTCAATTATGGAGAAAACGAGGCTCCTTTACATGGCTGTGGACACCAATAGACGGAAGAGCAAATAAGGAGAATCAAAGATGACACAATGGCAACAAATTCAGCGAAGCACCAGTCGTTCTCGCTTTCGTGCGCCACAATAGACGGGAGTGGCGGGGTATCCAAGAAGCGTTATACTAAGCACCTTGTGGCAGGGGAAGGGAGGGAGATAGAGTGCGTCGAGTGGTGATGCTGTAGGATGCAGCAGCTTTTTCTTGGGGGGGGGGGGGAGGGGTTGGAGGTTTGTGTGGCGATCGGGACCACAACTTAAACTAGTCTCACCTTCGCTTGGCGGCGTCGGCTGTGTCCTTCATGTCGGTCTCGTCCTCCTTCGGGCCCTGGCCGTGCGAGTCGTTGAGCTGCTTGAGCTGCTGGTACTGCTCGTAGGTCATGTCCTTCCCCTTGAACGACTCCTTCACCTCTTCTTCCTTGCTCACGCACAGCTGTTTTCAGAATCACAAGCCCGACAACAACGACAACGACGAAGACCACGGTATCAAAGACGACTCTCATTGGTGGATCCGAAACGGCGGGGAAACACCCGCTCTTCGCCGACATCGCGACTTCCTCAAGCCGAACAATTCGATGCACCAATTAGTGGCAAAAAAATGGCTACCTTTCATCTTTACTCACAAAGACGAACCGATACACTAAAAAGAAGTAGCACGCTTTCGTGGTGACAAAAGTATAACTGCGGAGCACTAAAATCTCGCTCACCGAGGAAAAAAGGAAGGCGAGTCCGTAGGCGATCGGGCTCGTCCCGCTGACGTTTTCGGCGGCCCTGCACAGCCGGGACAGCGCCTTGGGGCACCTCGCGGACCCGTAGCAGAGCTCCTCCTTCACCTGCATACATATAGGGGCGCATCCCGAGAACAACGACGGGCCCGCAACGTTATGTCTGAGGGGAGGCGCTTTTCGTTGTCGAGGCTTGAAACGCCTCACGAAAACCACCACGGGGGCAGGGAAGGTGCTGGTATGGTCATGGTGTGCTTCGCACCGACAGGGAAAACAGATCTGCTCAGCCGCAGAGCACAGGCTGGTTAGCCTACCAATCTTCGCGTGCTGCAGGCGGCATCGGCGTCGGTGCCTACCAATGGAACCTTAGGTCCGACGGTGCCACAAAGGCAAAAGAAAATCACACTCGACACACCGGGTTTTGTTGATCACCACGAAACACGCCATACTAGCCTGCAAGGTGTTGTTTTGACCATATCTTGAGATAGAACAGCCCCCCCCACCTCCCCAATCAACCGTCGCATGCAGCCCCCCCCCCTCCCCCCCCTCCCTACCTTAGTCTTGGAGACGAGGAAACTCAGCACCTCCACCGCGCGCTCACTGTCCGCGATAGCCGCGCCCCCCTTCAACCCGTCCATGCCCCCGAGGCCAGCCCGCTTAGACTTTGGTCCCCCAAGTTTGGAGCCTGGCGCCGCGTCTTTCTGTTGCTTTTGTTTTGCAGCGGAGGAGGAGGAGGAGAAGGACGGCGCGTTGCTGTTGCTGTGAGTCGGCGGCGGCGAGTTGGAGGCGGTGATGAGGTCGAGGGAGACGTTGAGCAGCTTGGTGACGTCGTCCGAGTCGCTCGACAGGGCGCTCGAGATCATCCCGAGCTTGGCGTACGCGCTGCCGGGAGGGACAGGTGGGCCGGGGGCAGAGACCATGCACGCACAAGGAGAAGAAAAACGACGTACCATCAGCAACGGTACATGCCAGGAGAGTACGGTAAAAAGAGAGAGACCACGCACGCACACACGAGAAGAGAAGAAGATGTGGAGGTATGCGAGGGAACAGAAGACAATATGACGGCTTCAGAGCGATACGTAAAACGGTAGGTGAAAGGACTCGCCGATAGCGAGGGCCACAATAAGGTACACCAAGAACGTCGGCAACAGCGGTAACATGCGCTGCGCTTTGGTGTTTCTCAAGCCTACCTTGCCGTGACTCAAGCCAAACGACGGCGTGAGGTCTTCGGACAACTATCATAACCCTTCAGCATCACGGAACAGGACAGACAACGCGAAGGTCTTACTAATAGTGTAACACTCAAGCAAACGAAAGGCAGCAGAAGACAACAACGCGCAGGACAGATTGATAGATTGGTAGATATCCAGCACGCCACATACGAACAGTAAATGGGGACGGACGGATGTGCGAACGCGCACCAACGAACGTTCGCGACAGGCTGGGCTCCAAAGGCTTCCCGAAAGACGGGTAAGATTCCACTTTGGCCACCACTTGCAGCCAGCCGCCACGGACACCCGTGAACGTGGAAGGGTGAGCGCACTGCCAACCGCACGAGGAATGCCGACACTGAATGAAACCCACAACCCCCCCACGTACCAAATAGCCCCCCGGCACTACTGCAGCGTTCAAACACTAAACCCCAATGCTCCCGCTAGTGCGAAAGGTGATGAAAGAGTGAGGGCAGGCAGCCGACTTAGCGCGAAAAAGCCATCAATACCGGCCTATCGATCGTCGCAACACTTGCCTAGCAGCAGCTGATCGGGCCGCCTGGCTCTTGCTCTCCATGAGCGCGAAGATGATGCCGCTCTCCACCACGGGGCCGAGGAGGGCTCGTCCCCCGTCGAACGACGCCGCGGAGCAGAAACACTCCGCCGCCGCCTCCTGCGCGACTTCATCGCCCGAGGCCGCTAGGGTCATTGCCTGAGTTAATAATTATCAACCCAAGTGAAACAACGTGGTGGACGGGCGTATGAGTGTCTTAAGTTGTTAGACCATGGATCACGCGTCCTCGAGAGGACGAAGTGAGAACCGATCATCACTCGAGGCCACAAGAGTCATGGCCTGAATCATCAAACTATAATTATCAACCCAAGTGAAGCAACAAGAGGGGGGGGGGGGTGTACTCATAGTCGTGCATGCCGTAGTCGTTTGACCATTGACCTCGCATCCCTACAAAGCCGGGACGGAGCACGCCGGGTTCTCACCGGACCAGGCTCTCACATCACCAAGCGCGAAGCGCCGTGAGGTATTCGGCGAGTCGCATGAAGGGTGAGCTGCATCCTGCTAAGGGTGTTCGGCATCTTGTGCTTACTTCCTTGCGTACGGATGACAGCTGCGTATGACTTAATTTATTTTCTGGTGCTTTCACTTCCAGAGACAGTTGTAAGCACTGTGTAACTGCCTCGAGGATGCTTGACCATTTTAACACAACGTGGTGCGATCATCCCCCGTTGCGCGGAGTGAGGGTTCTCCACCCCGCACAACTTGATCTACTCGACGACCACTATGGTTACCGCAAAAAAAAACAGAGGTAAAAAAAAACCGGTAACCTGGTTGCCGAGTTCACGAAGTGAATTGGCTTCTTTTACAACGTCGTTGCCAAGCGACGGAAACCCAACCCCGATGGCAAACACCGAGGGGGGGGAGGGGGGGGGGGGGGTAAGACACACTGGTGGACACCTCAATCCACACGGTCACCCTCACCTTTGGAGTCGTCCGCGACGCTGCCACCCCCCGCCTCGGGCTGGAAGTGCAGCAACGGCTTGACCGCCTCCTTGATGGCGTTGGAGTCGGCCTCCCTCTCCTTCTCGTTGGCCTGCACGGCTGTCACGGCCCTCCCGATGCGACTGATGCACGCCGACGCCTTCCTCCTCTCCACGGCCTCCTCGCTGCTCAACGCCTTGTACAGGCTAGCATCGGTTCCGCCACAAACGTTGCGAGCACACGCGATCGAGAGGGGGAGGGGGGGGACGCCCAGAGATCAATCGAATTTACTCTCGTTCTGCAGGGTAGGTGATACAACTACAGCAGCATCAGCACGCAACTACTAGAGCACCAAAATCATAAACTCATGGCTCCTCTTAGAAAAAAAAATCGTACTACACGGCACCACTACTGCAGGTGGATTGCGGCACCACCACCGGCCCGGACTCGAACAACAAACACCAGTAACAGCATCGCGCCCAAATCATCCTCAACGGGCTTGCCAAGGCTCGCGACTGCTTTGGGGTACCTGTAGTTGATTGCCCATAAAGCATTATCGTATTGATGTAAATGGCGTATGGCACGTGCCATATAGTCGGAGCACAGTTTGATACCGTATCGCATTGCGTACCGCCGTGGTGTGTTGTGAGGCATACTACATTACGGTGTGGTATTCTTCCAGTACAACGCGGGACGGCATTACATAGGGTCGGGTCCACATGTACGGTGTGTGGTGTGCTTTACCTGACGAGGACGGGAGACGACGACAGCAGCGCCAAAGCCTTGTCCCGGAGCCAAAGGCTAGCCCGGACCCTTTGTCGGTGCACCTTCTGGCGCTTCTCGTAAGCCTCTTTGGCTGTTTGTTTTCATTTAGTTGTCCATCACACGGCAAGCAGGACGCGAAAATAACACACAAACACAGCGATTCATAGTGAGGGTAGAGTCCAACTCCCAGTCTAGTTTATACGCGCTAGTGTACATACAACCAAAAGGCGGGGCTGGGTTGTGTTCGTGTGCAGTGGGGCAAGTGGGAGGTCTCGAGACCACAGGGGGCCGAGAACATCCATGAGGGGAATGACTATAACAAACGCCATGTGTGTGTAGGGGGGTGTGGGGAGAGCACTCGAGAAAACACACAGCAACAAGGAGCGCACAGATGCCGACACTTACATCATCTCGACACGTTGCTTTCCAAGGAACAAACGTGGAGTGACACGCGACCTAGATCGCGCGGATGGCATCACGGCCCATCCACGCGACAACCTGTTCCAGCTGATGAGTGCCAACGACGAGTCTACCAGCTCATGAAAAAACCATCACACGGTAATCTCAATCCACGTCTACCTCAAAACGGGCGCTGTTTGAATGATGCATCGACGACAAAATATTGCCTCAGCTTTTGTCAATGTGTGGTCGTCACACGGAGAATGCTCATGATGAAGACGACAACATCCATTCTCTCACCTGGCAAGCCCGCGAAGTCCTTAGGGTCTTGCGCGTCGTCTGGTCCCGCCGCACACCATCTCACAGCGGCTTCCAAAGCCGTGTCGAACACCTTGCGAGGTACAGAGGAAACCACAACACAAACCCCAGCGTTTCGAGCAAAACATGACAACGACACAAAAGGGCAAACACAGGAACAAGAGACGCAGAGAGGGGACGATGACATACCCCCCAGGGGTAGGAGCAAAACGGTAACAACGACAGCTAAATGGGCACAAAAAAACAATCATCAACAGCAACAACACACGTCGGCACCACTACCTCCACTACGACCAGCTACAACACGGCCGTATACCTCGCGATCCGGCATCGTAAGGCCGTGTGCCAACACCCTAACCGCAGCACTAGCAAGCTCCTGCCCTGCTTCATACACAGAGCCGCGGTCCACATCCTTCAGCTCAGCCAGATCATCCGTCACCTGCAGTGAGGGGGGGTGGGACATGGACCCCACCCGTTGATGACATGAGCGTGGAGAACAGCTGCAGGCACACACAAGTCATCGACACGCAGAGAACTGCAGACAAAGTAGCTGTGGCACCGTCCACGCCACAGCCTCGTCGTGGGGAAAAGCAGCATTAGGAGGGAGACGGAGAACGTCACCACCGTGTACTGCCGCGCACGTCGACACTGCCGTACGGTTGTCCAAACGGCAAACGGCGGGGTGAGCGACCTACGCACAACGCGCCAGAGAACGCGCCCAACCGAGAAAAGTTGACGCCGGGCACGCCCTCCCACCATGCGCCCAACCACAAAACTGTGTCTTGTACCCGAGAGTTAGTTTGAACTAAAAAGCGACCGTTGATCTATCGGGTCTGCACACGTCACCGCTACACATCAATCTCTTATGAATGCCTCATCGAGAAGCAAGGTCCTATCGTCGGGAGCGCACAAAAAACTGCACTCGAAAAATATCTCCCGTGTTCAAAGGTGGTGCTCAGACGACATGCACAGCAGCATCCACAGTGGGTCATCCACAAACCCACAACCGTCGGAGGACCAGCCGAGAACGGTACGGTACGGTACGGTACGGTAGAACCAAACAGCCGGACATAGCAGTACCGAGTACATGACATATAGTAAGTGAGAGCTATATAGTTGCTGGCGACCCACCACTCGCTGGTCCCACTGCAGCAGGTGCACGGCGGCCGTGAGCGCCCCCGCCGACAACCCGGACCCCTCCCCCTCCCCCACTGCTGCGCCCGCCATGCTCGCACTCCGTTCCGCTTCTGTCGCCAAGATGTCTCCAAGGTCCGACAGCACCTCCTGCCGGGCACCAGCGGCAGCAGCAAACAACAGCGGCAGCAGCAACGACGAGGGCAAAACATGAAAAAAGACCCACATCAACATAGACCACGATCAGCGTTGCCGTGGTCGTTAGGTTTCAGAGACAAGTAAATGCTCATGCATCGTATGTAGGTACATGCCACAACCACCCCTGCCATCCCGAGCAGGCAATTGTCCACGCTTGCAACGTAGAAAAAAAAACAACGAATCGCGCCCGCTGCGTGAAACAGTCCGAGCCGCGTTGGGGTTGGTATCGCTATGTGCAAGAGGGTTATGAGCCGCGTTGGCGCTGGTGTTGCTGTGTGCAACAGGGCTATTGAGCAACTGGGAGGTTGGTCAGTGTAGCTCACCGTCCCTTGCGTCTTCAACAGCACCAGCCCGAAGGCCTTGTGCTGGGCCGCGGCCCCGAGCGCCCTGAGCGCCTCCTTCGCGGTCTTGGGAAACCCTTCGCCACCGGCCTTCATGCACGCCGTCAGCTGCACCATGCCGCCGTCCTTCAGCAGCTGCGGCAGCGGCGGCGACGCACGCAAACACCGCAATCAACGGGAGGAGGTGGTGCCACAAATGACACACGCGAAAGACCCGCCCTCCCTCAGTAGCTACAGCACGGTGAGACAGATCACGCAGCGTCTACATAGACAACGTATTCCACATCGCGCACAAAACGCACATTGCTACACCGTGTAACTTTGTGACCAGCGCGAACCACGGCTACAAAAATTACCGAGCTTCGCATCAATGGCGGTGTAATCAAAACAACGTCCGACCAAAACAAGGTACAAAAACCAACCAATCAAGAAGTGGCAGGGCTGCTCGAGGCGCGGCCGATTCTCACACCAGGTGCCGCCAAAAACAAAAAAGTCGAGCAAGGCCGGGGGTGGGTCAGGCCCACATTGGTACCAGAACGAGCCCAACCTCACGTTAGGCATGGCGTAACAAACGGTACGGTCAACCATGAACTGCAGGAATACCACGGTAGGCCGTAGTAGTGGTGGGTGCTTCGTAGATACTTCACAGGGAAGGGGTTGGTAGCGTAGGGCGAGAAGGGTACAACAGATGTGGTGCTACATGCAGTTGCGGTTTATGACCGGGGTGGGAGACCCCGCTTTTGGCAAGATTCGCGTAACGCCATGGTGGCACACGTCAGCTCCGCCGAGCACTGTTACCTGGACAGCAGCGGCCGGTTCGCTGGACAGCAGAGCTCCCAGCGCCAGCATCGCTTGGCTTTGCTCCTCATCCACCTTCGAAGGTGCCGCCTGCTCCGGTGTGGAAGCCTCTGATGCCGGCGCCGCTGTCGCCAACGCCAGAGGCTGTGGCGGTTGCGACTTTCCCTCGGGCTGCTTTACCTTGTCTGCCGCCTCGCGCAAGGCCTTAAGGGCCTGTCCAATCACCAACCGTACCGCCCACAACATGCGGTCATGCAACACGTTGTTGAGAGAAAGGCACTTGTCCAAACATCACACCAAACACACTAGCGCTCCGAAACATAGCACTAAACTACATGTTTTCCGTTGCTGCACATGACGAGCTCCTTCGGCTCGTGACACGTTGGCGAATCTATCATGAGGATTGTCTACGACACCGTATGCATTCCACTATGGAATCACGTCAGACCAACACAATCAATACAACAACAAACGCGTTCGATACGTGAAGTACGGATACAGCATAACCGTACACTGCCTAGCCACGGCAACATCATCCCGATCACACCCATCGGATGGACGTGTGTAGCTTGGCCGCTTGTACCGCTTCGTGAGCCTCCGAACCTGTCCCACGACAACAACCACGTGCGGCAGTTCCAACAACTGCGGGCTCCCCAGTCAGAGGGGAGGCAAACAAATACCCAACAGAACCGTTGACAGAAAACCACTGTTGCAGCAGCACACCTGTCGGATAGGCGTGTTCAGCCTTGAGGCTTGTGCGACCTTGTCCTTAATCCTCCTCGCCGCCCGCACGGCTTCCTTATTGCCTGGCTCCAGCTGTTATCGAGCAGCGGAAGCAGCACCCAGACGCACCATATCGCAGAGCACAACAAATTAAGGCAACGTGCACAGAAGTGCACCACAATGGGGGCGGAAGAAAGCTGTGAGAACGAGCACGAGGGATTTTCATGTCACCCGGACCTTCACAACCTGGCTCCATGCATCCTACCGCACCGCTAGACGCTCGATTTGATCTCCTTTACTGCACGGTGGAGGGAGACGATGGTGGTGCTTACGTGCACAAATTGTTGATCGTGCTTGTACGGGACATGGGGAACCTTTTTTTCTGCAGAAGGCACCAACACTGCTGTCGTCTTTGCAACTCATGGCCGTGTCCCTCAGCAAACATGGTCAACACGACGAGGCCAACAACAACTGTAGTGCAGTATCCGACCACAGGATGATTGTCAAGTAACAATCGATGTGATCCCTCCTCCGCAGCGTAAGGCATCCACACCTCTAGCGCTCTCTTGGCGTCTCTCATCGCGTCGCCGTCCTCTCCCAGCTTCTCCCGGGCAAGAGCCCTCCTGAAGTACGCCTTCACTCGACCGGGATCATCTTCCAACGCCCGGGTGCAGTCCGACACGCAGGCTTCAGCCTGCACCCATGGGAGGGCAGCGCGGGGACACAGCACGCGAACAATTTTCATCACTGCTGCTGTGCACGTGCATCAAATAGATCACGGCGCTCGGCTGTACGTGCCTCTACTGCGGGTGGGAGGTGTGCGGTGCAGGAGTGGCCAACAGCACAAGCTGATTTCGTTGGGCCGAAGTGTTGTGGACGACCCTGGCGCGTGGGGTCGGCCTTCAAAACCACACACCCAGTCACAGATAGATCTGACCGCGTGCAGACGCACGCGTGCCAGTTTCATTGTGCCTCCTATCGGGTGATATGCGATTCCACGGGACTCCTCGTGCAGGAGAAAAGGCCCTGCTTGAGCGCGCCGCCGTTTAGGCACATACATGGTCCCGTCTCCTATCCAGGCTCGTAGGTTTGAGCAGTCAGAGGTATAACAATCGTAGAGGTAAGAAACGAAAAGGTAAGACACGAAGAGGTAAGACACGAAAACAAGTACCGCCTTGCAGAGAAATAAAAGACTCAACCATCGCCCTCTGCGAGAGGCCCGCTCACTTCTCCCGCCCCCTTCGCTATGTACCAAAGGACTGGTCTGCGGATCCCGTTGTGTGGGGCTGCTCTTGCTGTTGAGGGTGGAAACGGCAACTGCTACAAAGTGTGCAGAGCGTGAGACCATCCACAAATCGTGTGCAGCTCTTCGCCCTAGCGTATACAAAAGACGTGGCAGACAGCACCCGGCTTTCCGGAGAGCCAACGCCGACAGATGTCTATCAATCTACCTCTCCGATGCATAATCGGTTTTCATCTTCCCCGTGATCGCCAATGCTAAGTAAGCACCCTCGCCGTCGTGTGTTCGACTGCACGGCTGTTGTCGTGGTGGCGGTGTCTGTCTGGGGGTGTTCCGATATTTACGGGTAGGCTCTCACCTTCCCTTGCTTGAACAGGACCATCGCCCGATTGGTCAGGACGGTTGCTCTCAGGTTGATCCCTTCCGGTGAAGACTCACCACGGCATCGCTCCAAGGCAGCAGAGTACAGCTAAATGGGTCAACCGCAAGAGGGGGAGGAACGATGCGGAGAAACTTGAGCGACCGGGCGGAACGTGGTTGGTTCATATATAATCAGGAGCAAGGGAGCTACTTGCGAAATCATCCCAAGAGGCAATCAGGGCCTCTGTAGGCCAGAGGCACTTGCACGTGCGAAGATACTCATGCTCGTGCTGCAAGGGCAAGAGGCCGTAGTCTATAGGCAGGTGATTTGCCGTTACCCTGTCTGGGTAGAAGGTGTGTGCACGGCTACGTCTGCTGCTGCGTACTCAGCGTGTGGCACTGGTACATGATGCTCGAAAGAAGTAAGAAACTCAACAGCACGAGGACTTGGCCATTTTCAAAACAAGCCAGCGTACTGCTGTAGTTCGGCTACTAGTGGTGGGGTTGTGAGCAGGAGGAGCAGCAGAAGGCCGTTTGTTTCAGGTGACTTCTTATCGTATCACAATGATGTTCTCTCTCACCTCGTATGCTTGCTGCAAATTGCCAGTCGCGAAGGCTTTGTTCCCTGCCTCCTTGAGACCGACAGCGCTATCATTGTCCGCAGGCGGAGGAGGCGGGTTGACCATCGTCTTGTGCTATCGTGCCTACGCCTCGCTGACGCTGTATCTGTGTATCTCTCCACGCGCTGAGCAGCGGCGGGAGCATGCGGCGTAACCAAGGGCGAGCTACAAGTACGAGCTGGCAGGCAGGCGGGGGGGGGGGGGGAGCAGAGAAACGCCTCATCGATCCTGTGAAACCTTTGAAACCGTCGCCTGCTGTCCGACTGTCCGACATCGCGGAGGTGAAGGGTGGCACGATGCAACAATTGATAATATGCTCCGCCACTGGGATGGGATTCTTCTTTCGCACGAATATTTTGCAAGAAGAATAACATCACAGGAATTCTGCTCATCATTGTTGTTGCGAGTGGCCGTAGTTCAAGAGCGACTTGTTGCAAACAAAGACGTGTGGTGCTACATAGCTCCTGCTCGTGCACATGAAACATCTCGCAAACACGTCGAGGCTCTCCCTCACCAGCCTGCACAATGCCGCCAGGCGAGGGGATTCAACTTCCCTGCAACGCCTCATTGCTACCATTGACCCGCTCGCGGCGGAGAAGATTGCTGCGGTTCTACGAGACGGCGACAGCAGGGGGGCGTGCATCTCGAGTCCTCGCACTGCTGCCGCTCCTAAGAATAAGGTACAAAGGAACATATGTGTGTGCGAGCCGTTGCCTGCCTGTATGCATCATGTACTTGTCCAGCAAATGTTTTGCCGAACTTTCTTCGCATCTCCTGCGAGTTCTACAACTTCCAGCAACATTGGCAGGTAACTCTGAAGCATCCAGCTTTTCCAACGGTCGTGTACGTCCAAGACACATCTTCATAGCTGCATAAAGCTTGATAGATTCCCCTGATACCACGACCGACCGCAGTCAGTGCCAAGACCGTAAAAAGGTCCTACGTACAAGGCGACCTTGCTCGACTGGTGATTTGCATCCCGAGTACTCCGTAGTACACTGCTGCATGTTGTGTTCTTTCGCAAGTAAGTCCGATCTCTGGAATCCTGACAAGGTATGTACAGGAGAACGCTGCCCAAACAACTTGCAGTCAGCCACAGAGAGAGGTACACAACGAGGGGCCAACATGGAAGGAATGAAACACTGCCGTCGATGCACCGGCTGAGGTTCTTGCCCTGCAGTACAGCACAATCACGCTAGACTACCATGAACCGTTTGCATTTTGTGTGACTTGCCGCCCGCACTGTGCGCGGCCCTCCTTTATTGTTGAGCAGGTCAAGGGCAAAGGAGCTGGCAGAACCACGTCAAAACTCGTGCACGCGCAAGGAAAGTCAGGTGGCAAGAAGAAAAAAACTCCTAGCCGCTTGAAGCGATTGTTACAAAAACAGGACTCAAAGCGGCGGACGGCACTCTATGTGGCATGTGCTTCCGGTGAGCAACAAGTATAAAAACCACGAGTTAAAGGTATCTTGAGGTTGTACTGGATGCCCCACTGTGTTGCAGAGTCTAAGTGAGTGAAACCTCACAGCCGATACTCTGGCTGTGTAAAACCTACAACCTATCGTCACAAATCGTTCTTCATACGACGGCCCTGTGCTACAACAGGGTCCGTTCGTCATGTAGTATGCCGTTCTTTCCGTCTCGAAGAACACGTCGGCCGTTTGTGGGCTTTCCTGCCCCCGAGGAGGAATTGAGACTCTCCCGCCAACAATGAGCACCATCTTACAGCAGTCAAAGCCGACGCTGTTCTAGGTAAACAAAGTATTCGACGGATTGCATTCGAAGGACAACAGGCTGTTTTTTTCGTGAGCAACGAGGAAGGTGTGCTACAATCGACCCCGAAGTACCCGCGTGTTCCAGACCACAAAAAAAATGTTCTCGTCAGCAACGCAAGAACCCTGTTACAGTGGTATTGCGCGTGCTGTTTTTGGCCTATCGCTGCCCTCCGCAGGAAACACCGAAATAGCAGACGCTTTGCTGACGGTCGGTGCTAGCCTAGATGGCCACGGTGCCTGGCAAAGGACCCCGCTACACATCGCTGCCTTCGAGGGTCACACTTCGGCAATGCGCCGGCTGCTAGGTGCAGGAGCAGACCCCTGGGCCTTGAACGATCGTGGACAGACCCCATCGGAAGTGAGCCAAATGTTCAACGCCAACCGCGAGGCCCTGGGGCTGCTTGAGGAGGCGGCCATCATGCGGCGAGAAGTGTCCACAGGTACGTGTTTAGCCTCTGTACAACTAGAGCAGAACCACCCCCGTGTCGAAACATCCAACCCTTCACACCCTTGGGCGGCCTAAGATCAATTCACGAGTGCACAATTATAATTTCTCGGCGCCCGCGCGAGGTCAACTCACACACCATATTCACACCGTATTTTCAGCACGAGGCTAACAATTGTTCGGCACGAGGGGAGTAGATCGCTGTTGTTGGCGATCCGTTTGGTGTGCGTGCTCACGGCGGTCGGTCCTGCCGACACCCATCTCGTACGACAGGAACGGAGGGGCTGATAGGGACGACTTTCGTCCACGATGACGGCCAGGTCGGAACCGTTGTTGACGCGGTCGAGCGATGGGCGTTCACTCTGGAGGTCGAGTTGGACGGCTGGAAGATGGTGAACGGCTCGGGAGCCAAGCTTTATCTTCCTGTGAGGTGCACGACCGCAAAAAATTGCTTGATTGTGAGCGCGTCACACGCCTTTTGTCGCCGTTTCTGTCTGCAAGTGCACGCAACCCTGACCTAAACACACACCTCAGCGTTGTCCCCGCGTGTCTCATTCCACGCGCGATAAATGAGCAGCGGTGAACGGCTCAACACACGGGCACCGCCATCCTCGGCTGGGGCTGCTGATACAACGAATGATGACGGCACAACAAGCGGCAGCCGATCAAATCCAACAAGTCTTGCTGAGCCTATCCTGTGGCTGGCGGACACGGTGCAGAGGATGAGACTCGAGAGCGAAGGTCTGGTGAGGGTCACGGCAGACAGTCTCGTCGGAGCTAGGGTGTCGAGGAAGACACCGCTCGGCGGCGGCAGGGTGACCGCGGTGCGAAACGTAAAAATTCGTTGCGACCTCCGAACCGCCGCTTCGAGCGCGAGAGTCGGAATGACCACGGTCCCGGTGACCGGCAGCAAAAGAGAACGATGTGCCAACGCAGCCTTCAGCGAAACACGCAGCGAAGAACCAGAATTGTCTGACCTGGGGGAGTCGCTTGGAATGCCAATGCAAGAGGCCCAGTCGTGCTGTAGCTGCTCTACCGCCTCGAGCGATCACGATGTTGGTCTAAAGGTGCCGGAGGTGGGTCTTGCTGCAGGGCTCGGGGCCGTTGGGCACCACGGGGATCGGGAAAGGTACCAAGGCGAAGACGGCTCGAAAGCGACCATTAGCTGTGCCACGCCAAGGGGTCCGGAAAATGCAGGCCATGGACATCGGCAAGTTGGGCCGTCGGGGGAGTGCTCAACACGGCGTTGCCTCTCAGCGAGGCTTGTCCAAGTGGCGAGCAAGCGCGGGGTGTCGAGACGCCACCGGGAACAAAGGGCGTCCTCAGAAGATTCGTGGGCAAAAGATGGCGACACCGACGACGAAAGCGGGGCTCCGGATGATTGGTCGGTCGGAACGGAAAGTGCGGCGGAATTTGACGCATGCGTGGCAACCCCCGTGAACGAACGCACGCGTGAAGGCTTCGGGTCACAACGGGCGGGAATAGAGAGCCGTAGTACAAACCGCAGGGAAGCTCCGTCCCAAGGTGCTTATTCAGCGGCACCGACTGCTGGGATGCACCTCTAGTTCTGGTTGCCATCCAAGTATTCACAGGAGTCAACGCTTAGATTCGTTTTCTTCTGGCATTGGGCTGTGCTGGAGAGAGCGCAATCTCGGTGCATTGGAACGTCCCACCTCGGCCGCTGCTACTTTTATCAAGCGGTACTGGTGCAACGTAAACCGGAGAGCGTGGCTTGGGCTGTCCGCGAGAACCTTCACCGAACGTGTTGAATGATTGGGTAGAGACATGACAACAGTTAGGGCTAGATATTGGTTTCTGTAGGAACGTCGTGCTACAGGTTGGACGAACTGTGTTCTGCGCGAGACAGGTGTGTCGCCTATTTACCAGTTTTTTCTTGTTAGAGTTGTAAGTCCATCGCGGTCGCTCGATTCCCCGCCACGAGCCCCCCTCCTCTAGCTTACTGCGAAACCTTGCCCAAGCTGACACTTGCTCTGACCCAACCTCGTGCCCCCCCCCCCCCGCCGTTTTGAGGTCACAGACATTGGGCTCCGTACCCACCGCTTTTCTTTCCTGGATAACCTCGTGCCTCTGGCTGCGTTGGAAGGCGTTCTTGACTGCAATCACGTGAGAGAGACTCGCTCCTTCCATCCGTAGTCGCATCGCACGTAGCATTGAATTGTTTGTTCACGTGCCCATCCATAAAACGCTTGGGTATTCTCCGTGCGTGCTGTCCCATTTGTTCTGGACGCCAATCGTTCGCACCTTTCGGTAAGTATTTGTGGATGCATCAGCTGGGGTCACACAGGAGGGATGGCCACACCTGAGTTACTATTTCCTCCATCTTCCTTCCGCTGCGGTTCTAGCCTTGAGGTTTATGGCGAATGACACAGCCGCTCCTGCACTCGTTGACTTTGAAGTCGAACGCGTACCCGATTTCCACGTTGTTTGGGCACTTTGGGAGAATGAGTCCGAATTCGTGTGATTGCGCGGAGATTCGAACTCAAGTCCCCAACCAGACGGCGAGGTTACCAACTGAACCACTCCGCCATCCTGTTATGTAACCAAGCTCTGAACACTCAAACTTTCGGCTCAGTAGCTTCGTTGGTCTCTATTACACGAGCACCGCACCATCCCCCTGACACACACTACTTGTGCGCGTACTGACACGGACACTTGGCTCACGCCTCGCCCTCGGCTAGTTACCTCCATCGGCTGTGGCACCCCAATCCCGCGCTCGAAGACGCCAGCTGCTGTCGCACTGGAACACACGAATGTCGGTATCGATGGCGGCGGGAGGAGGAGCATCAGCAGCACCAACGTCCTACCAGCGACGTCGGGCTCACCGGCACGACATCCTCCAGCATTCGTCCGGAGGGTATTCCGTGTCGCCATCGCCTGCTTCAACCCACTCGATGCTCGAGGTTGACGACTTGTCAGAGCGTGGAGCCCGTGATGGAGAGGGAGACGACGACTTGCTTAGCATTGTGGGGTTGGAAGAGAAAATCGAACGGGAGGAGCGCAGCCCCGAGCGGATGGACGGCAGGCGGATTGGGGTGGAGGCCACGAGGAAAGCTGTTCGCGAGGCCCTAGTCTTGTGGAGCGGAAAAGCAGACATCCTCCAGGTAAACCACGCACGGAAAGCAGGCGTGGGAGCGCGATGACGATCTGATGCCCGAATTTCTGTTCTTGTCGAGTGGTAAATGGCAGTATGACCTCCAGTAGTACAGACTCTAGTCAAGCAGAGATGCGCCTTCATAATTGTTGGCGACCGAACATAGGTTGAAAATAATCCTCGCATCATGTAGACTAATCGGGTGCTGCCGTCGTTACAACCTGAATTTTCATGAAATCCTTCGCGGCGCCATCATATTTCTGCCTCACACACTCTCCCCCGTTCCGGAACCCGCTGTCTAAAATACGGACAGGGGAGACTCGTGGTACTCAGAACCGTGTCGGCGTCTGTAGCTTCTACGGTTGCAAGCAGCCATACCCAAAATGCCACCCGCTCTGTGTCCTTGGAAGAGTTGTTGGCCAGCCCATCACCACGGTGCTGCGCGTGTGACATGCGGGATGGTTACTGCCGGCGGGATGACTACGACCGGCAGACGCCGATCCCGCCCGCTTCTGACAATATCCGTCGAGGCAGCGACATCTCCACAGCTTCGAACAACGGCACGATCGATACGGCACAGAAGCATACCAGCGGGCCTGTCGCACACGCTTGTTACTCCTGTGCCGCCAAAAGTACCAACGTTGGCTCTGAGCCACATGGCGATCTCCATGTCGATGGTGCAAGCAGCGACGACTATCGAAATACCTGTGCTGGTGTTGACGATTTTGGCGGTACGGTTAAGGACACCTCCACTTCGAGGGAGGAGGGGCTGGTTGTCGACCTAGAAGAGTGCCTGGTTCACATGACGCATCTAAGAGATTGGCTTCGTCTGCTGGACCAAGAAATTGGTCAGTTGTAGGCAATCCATCCCCTAGTAGGTCCTCCAAGCCAGTGATGAAGTATGTCTACATTGGAAGGACACTTGCGGCCGTTAAAGCTTGCCTGACTATACGGCAGTAAGGATAGTCGACGTTACGTATGTGTTGGTGATTTCTCCGCAGAGTCGTGGCCGCTTGTTCGTGTCGAACGCAAGACCGCACTCGCTGTCTCTCGCAAGCGGGCACTGGGCCACAGCGAAGTAAAACACCCGTACTTCCTCGAAGCCCTCGACTGCATCGGTTGCCTCCGTCATCAAGGTAACTTTCTTCGCAGGTGTTGTTGATGTTGACGGAGCAAGGAAAGAACCCCTTCCATAATGCTAAACAAGAAAACGATGAATGAAAACTGCAAAGCCTTCCCGTAAAAACACTTCACTTGTATATCCGGCGTTGCGCTTTGTATGAGAAGCTTTTGTTTGCCCAGCACCTATAATATTGCCAGGTGACTAGACTAGTCTATATCCTTCAATAGCCCAGGTACGAGTGTTTTGGGGGAACTCCTCGAAAATATTGTGGGACGATCTTCACCTTGCGTTGTAGTTCGAGGCAGGATTCTGCGGGTAAGCCTGAACCTAGCCAGGTTGACCTAGACCGAAGAGTTGACAGTTTCAGGTCGCAGCTTTCTTTTTCCCTACATCTAAGCCACTTTCCCTTTTCTCTCTGGGGAGATAACAACCAGTGACTCCGGTTCTTCTTCGTTAATACCGCGGAGGGAGACTGCCAAGGGCTGTATCATGAGACAATTCATAGATAAGGGCCACGGGGTGGTTCCCAACCCTCTCGTCAAACTGGTTCGAGCCTACCACAAACGGTACATTGATTTACGCCGTTTAGCACGTGTCGCACTCGCGGATCACTTGGAGGGTGTACACAGTGCATATTGTTGCATCGAAATCGGCTTGACGGTGGTCGTCCAATGCACGATCCTCCCACATGCCCACGTTGTGTTGAGGGATATGCATGATCATGCATACCGCGTGGCGTAGTGTGATCCAAGACGGGGACCAGGTGTTGCACGGGTTCGTAAAGGTCTGTGCAGCGTCCATCAGGTACCAGCACGTGCATGCGATACCCGAAAAGAAGCTCAAAGGTTGGTCTCATCTGTTGATCATCCCAGGTTGCTTAAAACACCGGCAACACAACGTGAGCCCCCCCCCCCCCCCCCTCTAAACTGCGAACAACTCGATACACTGCACGACAAAACGATACAAAACCAACAGGCATCAACCAATCCAAGGAAGACGGACTTACCCCAAGCGAGAGAAGAAAGGGCTACTTTTGTCTCTGGGGCGGTTTTGCGCTTTTAAATCGGGACCGCTGCTGCGCCAAGAGAGGGCACCACAAGGTCAAGGGCTTAGCGTCAAGACACCGGATGTTTGTGGCGGCCAGGGAATGGCCGAGAGCCGTCAGCGAGCGGTTGCAGCATGCGTTTGAGAGCATGATACCGTGCAACAACAAGCACACAGGGCGCGAATTCAAGAAAAGCGAAAAACAAAACAAAACAGTGGGTGTGGCACCTGCAAGGCTTTACTCCAGGCAACCGTTTCATGCTCTCTCGACGACGTGGGAAAGAACAGCGCCACTTTTCCCAACAACGTCTCGTGCTTGAGTTGTGCTAAAGGAATCTTACTCTTGCTCAAAGCCTCCCGCAGCCCCCGCACTCAAACGTGCAGGCAAACTTCGAAGCAAAGACGCTCCAGAGAACGGTTTGAGTGACAGACGAATGCGTCAGCCCCTGTCCGAATGACAACGAGACAGCGCCACGTGTTAATTAAACCACCGGTCCCAGAGGAGCACCACGTGACAGCTCCAAGTAGGTCTCGACCCAGCGCCGAGCCCCCGCTTAGGGTACACGATTCGAACACCCCGTCAGATGAGCTTTTTCGATCTGGAGAGCGAGACAAGCACGACGGGGGTGGTTTGGCGATCGAGTTTTGTTTGGAGACGCGTCGCGACATGCGCCGTGCCAGCGCTTGGTGCTGCCTGTCAAGCACGAGGCGCACTTCACTACATGCGAAGAGCGACATAAGAGAAACGACAAGAACGTGCGCGTCTTCACAGGCCGACACTACACGTAGAAACGTGACAATCCTCGCTCTACCTCGCCAGGGGAATCTGTTTGAGCAAGGCCGTGAAAATCAACGAAACATACTTCCGGGCCTTAACTGATGTCTGAGATACTGCCAACCTGTTCGTGTTTAATTAATGGTAACAATATCAACGCCATACATGTACGTTTATATTCTTGGTGAAAAGAAACACGCGGGTAAACAAACGATCCTCCTTCCAAACCACCCTCCTCTCACCGAAAGAATTTGTTGAGCAGGGACAGCTGCCAGCCGCTGACCGAAAGGAGCACCACGACGGTGAAGAGGGCCACGAAGTTGATTCGAGAACGGAGCACCTTGTCCGAATCGATGCCTTCTCTCTCGCTCGACGCGCTCTCCCGCAGCTGCTCGCTCAGGCTTTTTGCCAGGTCCTGCGGGGGGGGGCAAAGCAGAACCGACGCCGACGGTGAAACCGGTAGCAGTCAAGCGCGACAGGGTAGTAAAGCCAAAAAACAAATGTTGGCAAGGCAGGTGAACAAAAACAAGGGGCTAATTGTCCCTCGTTGCAAAGACGCCCACTGCAGGAACCAGAGCGCCGTTCAAGACTCATTGGCAGTGCGTGTTCGTTTTGTGTTTTCGTCCCATCTGCTCCGGTCTACACCTTTCCGCATATGTTTGACGCACCAGCCGGGGTCACACAGGAAGAAGACAAGCACTGGGTTTGCTTCTTTTGTCCCCCGCATTCCTCCTGCGGTGCTTTGCCTTCAATCGTTCAATGAGAAGGGATCAGCAGTCTTGCCCCTCCTCGTGCGGTAAATAACAGTCTTTGTAGCGCGGTAGAGGGAAAGCTTTCCAAGCGAGGCCCTTCAAAACGCACACAGTCCTGCTACTGGACTATGCAAACGGTCCCGCGAGACAGGTATAAGACAAAGGGCGGACCCGGATCAACTCTAGCAGCCTCAATCGCCGACAGTCCCCTTGATGAGACTATATAGACTATATAGGATGGATAGGGTGTGGTGGTCAGGTCGGGTGCAAAAAATGCCCTCTTCCCCCCCGCTGGTGTTTTGCCATCGAGGTTGGGTTTTCGTCGCTTGGCAACGACGTTGTAAAACAAGCCAATTCACTTCGTGAACTCGGCAACCAGGTTACCGTTTTTTTTTTTACCTCGTTTTTTTTTTTTGGCGGTAACCATGAATGATGGTTGAGTAGATCATGTTGTGCGGGGTGGAGAACCCTCACTCCGCGCAAAGGGGGATGATCGCACCACGTTGTGTTAAAATGGTCAAGCATCCTCGAGGCAGTTACACAGTGCTTATAACTGTCTCCGAAAGTGATAGCACCAGAAAATAAATAAGTCATACGCAGCTGTCATTCGTACGCAAGGAAGTAAGCACAAGTAAGCACAAGATGCCGAACACCCTTAGCAGGATGCAGCGCACCCTTCATGCGACTCACCGAATACCTCACGGCGCTTCGCGCTTGGTGATGTGAGAGCCTGGTCCGGTGCGAACCCGGCGTGCTCCGTCCCGGCTTTGTAGGGATGCGAGGTCAATGGTCTAACGACTACGGCATGCACGACAATGAGTACACCCCCGCCCCCCACCCCCGCCCCCCACCCGAGAATGATCTGGCCAAGAAAGCCAGCCAGCTCACCTTGGCATGCTTAAGGAGCTCGTCCGCTGGCTGCAGGTGCTTGGCGACCTGAGAAGCACCTTTCGTCACCGCCAACGTCGTCTCCACCAGCTGAAAGTGAGTCGTTGCATCGTAACCACGGCCAAAAGTGAAGACGAATTTTGTAAAGAAAACATAGCGTAAAAAACACAGAAAGACTAATCGTTCGGGACATAACCACGGGATATAACCACAGCAGTTGAAGGGGATGGAACAACCATGAACTTTACCACCACCTAAACAGGCAACGAACGTCGTCTACTACGTCACGGCCAATCACCACATCGGCTAAAAGCCAGGATCAAGACCAAGCGTTCAAAACGCCGAAACGGCCAACAAGTGGCCGTGCGAAAGCGCCCATCCCTCTCTGTCTGTCTGTCTGTCTGTCCGTCTCCCCCGCCCCCCTCACCTCCACCCTCGTACTTCTCCCCTTGGTTTTCAAGTTGTGGAAACAAACCCTGTAGGTGCCCCCCCCTTCCCCCTTATCCACACGATGGAACTGCTCCTTCTCCGTCAACTCCGCGATGAACGGCTCTTCTCCGTTGGGGTGCTCCAAGATCACCTTGACCTTGTCTACGAAAGGGCCGCTGCACACACAAGAGAGAGCAGATTCCAAAATGGCAAGATATAAATATTCAGACCACCGGGACGACAAGGAGAACAATCTGCTTGCGCGTTTCTCGCGGAGATGGAATCGAACAAAAGACGATAAGTTTCGAGTTCCGCCGCAGCGGTAGGGAAAAAACACAACACACGTGGTCCAAAGGAAACATTGCTGGAAGACTCGAGACGAAAACAAGCGGGTCAGTAGCGGGGGTGTAGGTCTCGAACAGCAGTTGAGAAGAACTGTAGGGGCACTCACACACATAAAACGCCAGCACATGGCAACAAAGATAGTGTCTACAACACAGGGGGGAAGGGGCCAGCAAGGTGATAACAAGACTGCTGTTTCGGTACTGCAACGACGGACGTGACGCTGCAGTATGACTCACTCTACTGGCGCCGCCCTGAAAGTGAACGTGGTGTCCTCGCCGACTCGCACGCTGTCCCCCACGCATCTGACAAAAAAAGACACATGTACAAACAAAGAACAGCAGGGTGTTCACGTTGTTAATGTCCTGTTCGAAGACTGGCGGCCTTTTCATTGGTCAGCAGGTTGGCGCGGTCGATGCCAATCAAAAACATACACAAAGGACAGAGACACACGGCAGAGGGAAACCTGCGTGATTTCATGCAATATCACAAAACCGTCAACCCAGCGGCAAGCGAAGCGCCAAATCGTCCCCCCGCATGAGAGGTTGTCCGCTAGGGGGGGAAAGGACAGCGCACTACCATATGCTACGACGGCGGCGTTGGAAACATTGCGAAGTTCACGCAACATGTCGGCACCATTTCGCGCATCTGAACATGATGAGCAGAATAGAACTCAGTGCATACACAGTTAATTTGCACACGACCAGCGATGTGCTACTATTACTCTTAAGTCTCCATGGAATGTTGCGTTGAGAATTAATCGTTCTTGTGTGCAGAACATCTTGAGATTATTTTTCCTAATAAACGCATCTGAACGCGGACATGGACGACCAGTACATGCGTTACGTTGAATACCGACTCCCCTCCCCCACCTCCCTCATCCCTGGCACACTGCTCGCATGCGGTCGAGGCTCCACGAAATACTGCAGTATGGCTGTCGTGACACGGACAGACGGATACCAGGTGGAATTCGCTGATGTTGCATGTCACGGAGTTGCGAAAGGGTACATGTGAGGTTGTTCGCCCTCCCCCCCGAGAACGAACTTTTGTTGAGCGGGGCTGGCGATACCGGCGCCAGGAACATGGCGGTGGGTACAGCAGTACGTAGTGAAGCATGGGTCGTGCATTGCTGTGGCAGGTGTCTATTGGACCAAATAAATAACTTCATCTACAAGATTTCAAAGTCCATGTGATTTTACGTATGTGCTGCTGTGCAAACATAGCTGCAGCACCGAACTGCTGTCGAGGGACAGGCGGAAGGGGCTTGCCTTGTTACAACAGTCAAGCGGGATCACGGTGTCGTGTGTCGTGCATTGCTGTGGTGTCGGTGTGGGATCAAAATAATCGTCGCCATCCATAAAACTTCAGTAACCTATTCGATGTTCTGCTGTGCATACTCTAGCTTCAGAGATTTCTCCTAGCACACGGATGCAACATACGTGTCGGGCAAGAGTGTCCAAAACAGGCCGCAGCAGAGCAGGTATCCAGGCACGCGGGGTAACTACAGCAGCAGTACCGAACGTTCCGTACCTTGTCTCTCCCGGTAATACGTCAATCAGGATAGGAGTGGGCTCTATCCCGTAGGCAATGGATAGTCCAACCAACGCCAGAGCGTAACGGAAGAGTTGCATCTTGGTCTACCACTGGCAGTCTGCTCTGAGGCTGTGTCCAGCCGCCAGCTCGCCAAGGCTTGTTCCGTCTCGCTCCACCACCTCGTCTCTCCGCCCTGCTGTCTGTGACAGGGGTTGACTGCTGTGGAACTAGGCAGCTCCTAGATAGCAATAAAGCTGGAAAAACGGGGTGGCGGTAGGCTACGGGGTGAGCTACACCTCACTGGATGTATTGGCGAGTACGAAAGAGACCAGACACGCACACACAACGTAATACCTGGGCTGCTGGGCATGGACGACAGGGACAAATTGGGACAAACGCCCGGGGGCCCCCTGTTGGTGCCGTTGTCCGGGTGCGTGGGGGGGTCACCGTAAAAAAAAGGAAGAAAAAAGTGCATCGCATCATGTGTCATTTGTGTCGCGCTGCGCGGTGGTCGTGTGACGGTGCGAGAAAAGTATGGCATCATTCGTTCGGGTTTAATAGTCGTCGCTGGTCGGGCTGAACTGAGCGAAATTCATGACAAGAGCATTTATCGCGCACAAGAGCCGTGTAAAGAGAGGAGTCCGACGTTTTCTTACGAAGACTGCGGACTAGCAGTTATATATGCTTGTATACACCAAAGACTTCGACACTTTGTGAAGAAACCTCTCGACGACAGGTTTCCAAAAAACACTGTTTTTCAACATTGTCATCCCCTTGGGTGGGGAGTGGGGAGATGAATCGAGCTTCAAAAATGGACAGTGACCTTTAGCGGTACAATCTCTCTTCTGGCAAATGCAGTAGAGCTCCTTCTGGTGTCGCTGCGGTGGTCTCTTCACACGCACATTTGTCGAACGCTTCGGATCGCCAAGACCTTCTTCTTACACTTCCTTTGCGACAACACAGACTACTATACATACTGGAATTCCAATCAACTCTTGACGAGACAAACGGGGTTCCCGACCAACCCTTCTTTGCGATGCAACATCTGAAAAGGTGTGCACCGCGGGGAAGTCCTCTGTGTCCCTCCCGGACCACCTCCTTCTACTTCGTAATTTAGGAACCGTCCGGCAGGTAGACATCGACAGCCACGACATTAGACGATGCGGCGATGCACAAAAAGGTAAAGCGCATGCGGAAAGGAGTCCAACCTACAGCAGTAATAGCCTCGGCCACCACCTAATTATACGTAACATCACCATCTGGGTACATGTATTCGTACAGAGCGAGAAAATACACCTGGCAATGTATTAGAGAGCCAGCACTTCTACGACAAACGAAAACGCACACATCACACATTAAAAAACATACTTTCATTCGACACCCCAAAAACCTTGCACGACAAAAAACAGACGGCATAAATCACCTCACCACCCCGCCACGAGGCGGGTATCACATGGGCACTTCCAAGCAAACACGTACGGATCTCGTCATCACACGATCTTTGACAAGTTAATCAGTCGAACACAACAGCCGCCAGGGCCCCGTTTCTCACAGAACCACTGCCGCCAATTTCGATCCTGCTCCCATACAAAACCAGGTGCATACGCACGACGATATTGCTCCTCCTGTCACGTGGCAATCCATGCTTCGTCCAGGGCGTTCTAAAACTACATGGTGCATGACGATATTGATCTTGTCATGTGGCCATCCACGCTTCGTACAGGGCATTTTCTCTTTCCTGTCCACCATCGCTGTTATCATTCCTGACTTCCACCACGTCACCGCCTTCTTCCCCTTCGCCTTCATCCTCCTCGCTGAACCTAACGTGCCGCCCGCTCCATGTCGCTGCTCCTCTCCAGTTGTTGTCCCCGAACAGCTCACTCGAGTTCTTGGCGGCTGCCACCTCGAGAGCAGCCCTTACCTCCGCGGGCGTCTCTGCAGCTGCTGCTGCCCCTCCTATTGCCCCGACCGGTCCGTGGCTGTGGTCCCTGTCCCTCCCGGCCTCAGCAGCAGCAGCAGCAGCAGCAGCAGCAGCAGCAGCAGCACCAGCAGCAGTGTTCCCGGAAGAAATCGCGATGTCCTCGCCGAAGTAGGCCGTCGTCGTCTTGAGCTTCCCGTTCAGGAAGTGCTTCTCGAGCTCACAGGTATCGTCGATCGCCTGTAGGTCTACCCCCCGCTGTTCCTCCGCGATCCCGGCCCCGGCGCCGCCGCGAGGAATAGCAGCAGCGGCAGCCGGGAGCCGGGCAACTTGGTAAGGGTCCACGTTCCTCGGCAAGAAGAACACGACGTTGGGCGTAACCTCCCGAGCCGCCCGAAACATCTCCAGGGCCGACAGCGGGTGCGGGATCATGGAGTCCAGGTCGAAAGTCTTGGACCCTTGGTAACTGGGACCGCCCCAGGGGGGCGAAAGAAATACCGCGTCCGCCTTAAGCGTGGGGAGCACCTTCATGGCGTCCCCCAGGATGAACTCTATGCGGTCTTCCACTCCGTAGATGGCGGCGTTGCGGCTGAGGGGCAACGGTGCATGTCAGGGAGATCGCGTGTACGGTGTGGGCGAAAGTTGGTGGCAAGTTGGGAGGGTTTAAAGATTACGCGTATCGCAAGAAAGCTTGTGCGCAGAATTCCGCATTAGCGACTAGGGATGTTGTCACGAAACCAAGTTCCTGGTGTTCGCTTAGAAAAAAGCGCGGGTGAAGCGCGGCGAATCGGCGCAAGCACCGCCAGCCTAACGTTGGCACTGGGGGCATCGCTCTTTCAGCAAGTGAAGGACGTCCCCCCGGGGCGGCGGCATCGACAAAAGTAGCCCCCATTTGGATGACCGTTTCAACACCGTCAACAAACGGCATATAAGTGGTTTGCTTAGAGCGGCAATACAACGTCGTGTGCGAGACGGCCGTGTGTGAACTCACCGCTCAGGCACTTCTCACGCCCTCATCCGGCCAAAAGACAGTTATCAAGCGCGGAAAATGAAACGAAAACGGCAGGACCTTAAAGAAAAAAAAACACCGCAAACAAACGCACCGAGCGTGCTCCAGCTTGACCGGGTCGATGTCGATGGCGAAGACGAGGTGGGCCACCAGCGCGAACTGCACGGCGTTGCCGCCGCAGCCAACGAACGGGTCGACCACGACGTCGCAGCACACCCTCTCGGCGATGTGGCGGGCGATCGCCTCCGGGGTGACCGAGTACCAGCCCTCCTCGTCCATGGTGACCCCCTCGTCGAACCTGGAGAAGTAGCGGTACCGCTGCCCCCAGTACTTGTTGGGCACGTGCGGGTAGGGGCTCTTCGACCGGGAGGCGCAGCGCATCAGGAAGCGCTCCTCCTCCTCACCCTGGGTCCCGACGTGTCGGCCGCCGCCCCCCTTGCCGTGGTGCCTGCCGCTCTTCTTGTTGCTCTTCTTGCTCTTCTTGCGCGGCTGCTGCTTGCTCCGCTTCCCCCCGCCTCCGGTAGCACCCGGACCTCCTCCCACGGCGGCCGGATGTTGGCTGTCGCTACCGCCGACCTCCCTCGAAACCGAGGTCGGCATTATGCTGTTGTTGACGGCGGGGTCTGGCGTCTCTGCCCACACTTCCGTCACCGCGACGGCGTCATTGTCGCCTGCTCCTGCTGTAGTCACTACGCCCCCCTCTTTCGCGTCGCAGGTTTCTTCCACGGTCCCCCCCGCTGATGCTGCCACGATGCCGTTTTCCTTGCACCATTCCAGCACCTCGGGTGTCACGATTTCCCTGGCCCAATCGACCGGCACCCTGGACTGGTTCCCGTAGCCCAAGAAAGTCACGTCGAGCAACTTCTGCTGCTGCTGCTGCTGCTGCTGCTGCAGCCCCGCACATTCTTCGCTCTCCTCCCCCTTCCCCAAGGAGGTCGGATCAGCCGCTGCTGGTGGCTTTGTTGTTGCTGCTGCTGCTGCTGCCAACGAATCGACCATGACAAAGCTGTGTACACCGCCATCCTCCGCCTCGCCGCCCGCCGCCGCCGGCGCAGCCTTCGCCGGGGATGTTGGCCCTCCTTCGCCGTGCTTGGCAGTGAGCGCTGCGGATCCTGCTGCTACTAGCAGCGAATCTGACGGCGGCGCTACTGCTAGTGGATGCGCCCCCACTGCTGGTGCCTCGGCAGCAGGAGGCTGTGCGATGACGGCAGTTATCGTGGCTGGATACCACAAGCCGTCATCCTGGGGGTGTTGGTTTCATGTTTGAAAAGAGTTTGATGCGTAGGGGGGGGGGGGGAAGGCGACATCAGTACATAAGACAAAGAGTGTCTGCCACGCATGCGTGCGAAACAGCAGATGCGAATCTAAAGCAGCGGTGCCCTGGCGCACTACGAGAAACGAACCCCACCCTGTATAGCAGGCTCTCGGGACGATGCCATTCCGTGGCGCAGGTCACGTCGGCTACTCTGTACTCTGTACACTGCGGTACGCTCGAAAACTGTTCACACCAGCCCTGTTCACTTCTGTGCCGGCACCCAACGCCGGCACTATCACACAACAAGTTACCACGCTCCTCTCGAACTCACCGGGTGAAAACACTCCACAACAGATCCAGGGACAAATACGTCCCTCCGATCAAGCGGCGTTGAAGCTCTCGGACGCTTGCGACCATTTCCAGTGCTGCTGCTGCCTCCATCTCCCCTGCTGCCCGTGGTGGCCGCACCGACACTTTCGTCCAACAAGGCCGCCGTGGACTTCAAATTCAAAGCCTCGCTGCCGTCGAAACCTTCATCCTGCTGCGGTGTATTTCCTCCGACCTCGCGGGCGGCTGACCTACCACAGGCACCATCGTCGACGTGGTCGCCTTGTGTCTCTGGCTCTACGTTATGTATGGATCCTGCTGCTGTTGTTGACAGCTGTGACACGGCGTTGTCGACTACTTCGGAGAGTAGCCCCCTGATCCACCTCAGCACTCCGAGCTGCACATCGTAAGGCTTGTCCGTCAAGTAGGCGGTGGAGTGGGTCAAGTTTGCAGGCAAGCTCCTACCCATTGCTGGACAGCAGTATCAGAGTACTGGGCTGCGTCTCTAAGTACCTACACACAGCACTGAGTGTCCTGCAGCTCCAAAGGCTATGACATATAAGAACATATATGTCATAGCCTTTGTGCAGCTCAGCAGCTTCGGGAGGGGCTCCGGTGCATGAAAAATCATATGCAATCGGAGAGGGGGGGGAGTCTCTCGCGAGCATGTGTGTTGGCAACACCCACAATTGCAACGCATTTGAGAGGAAAGGCAGCGCGTCTCCCAGTCCACTGCTGCTGCTTAGCCGTAGCTTCCCTTGTGCTTGTCGAAGGAGGAGTTGGGAGTTGACGTGTGCACAGCGCAATCGAGCTGCTGCTCGCAGCGGTACAAGCCACGCCAACTTTTGGCCCGTTTGCGGGGTCAACACGTTGGCGTCACCATGGTCGAGGCAAGCGTGCTGCTGCGAGCTTCCACGCTCTTGGTCCTGTTGACCACGACTGGCGGGTACTCGTTCCTTCCACACTCTAGGCCTCTGGCGCGATCACTCCGCGGGCATCGGCACTGCAGCAGGTGTGCCTTGTGTGTATCTGGTTGTTGAACAACGTGTACAAGTTTGGTACAGCAGTATGATATCGTAGCAGCAGGTATCGATGTACGATCGCCTTCATGAATGTTGAATTCAGTCTGAGGAGGGCTGGCATCAATCAATGCGCGTGTGTTGCGTGTGCGCGCTGCCACCACATGCTGGGGAGGAGCTAGTGCTGCTGCTTCTGCGGCCTTGTCGTCGTGGTTGTCAAGTGAACAGGTTTTGTTCGAATGCCAATCCGAAGCAGCATGTTATATGTGTGACACAGATCGAGTTTGCGATCGCTAATCTAAATAGGCTTCAGCAGTACCGTAGTCTACGGTATGTATGCATACTACAACCTCTCCGCCTTTGTCTCTCTTTTTCGTAACGAAAACCATCCCGTGTTCCACGCTTGCACGTCTCTCTCTCGCAATCAGCGCGATATCCCGCACTCGATTAGCGCCACCATGCGCCATCGCCGTCGGTAGGGGCAACACGGTGGACGAAAAAGAAGGCGAGCCAACAAGCCGCCGCAGCAGCAGCTCAGATACAACTAGCAATCGTGCGCATGATACAGCAGCACCAGACGGAGCAGCAGCAGCGGAGGGTAGTAGCAGGGGGGAATGGTACGGCGTCCAGCAGGAGCAGAGGGGAGCTGCTTCTTCGACGCCGCCAGCGGAAGGGAAAGGGTCGGGGACAACAACGGTGGCACTGCCGCCGGGAACGGGGGGGGGAACAACAACAACAACAGCGACGAGACCGAGGCGAGGAGGAGGCGAGAAGAAGGCCAAGTCGGGGAAGAAGGGCAAGGGCGCGAAGGGGACGAAGACGAACCCGTCCATCGGGAAGTCGAACCTCGACACCATCATCGGCGACTCGGCCAAGTCGGGCGTGCTGTTCGGCGGGGATCCCGAAAAGGTGCTCTTCGGCGGGGAGCCGGAGACGGCGCAATCGTCGTCCTCCAAGGCCAAGGCCAAAGCCAAGGCCAAAGCCAAGGCAGAGGCAGAGGCAGAGGCGTTGGCGGCGGCGGCCGCGGCGAGCGAGGTAGAGGAGGAGGAGGACGACGACGAGGCGCAGCTGCCGTTCTCGGCGAGATGGCGAAGGAGGATCACCTTCGCCGCTAGGACGGTGCAGATCTGGGCGTTCCTGTTCCACGTCCTGATCAAGCTGCTGCGCCAGAAGCTCGTGCAGATGGACGAGGCGAGGATGTCGGCCCGGAGGCGGAAGCTGGGCCGGTACCTGTGCAGGGCGTTCCTCAAGCTCGGGCCCACCTTCATCAAGATTGGACAGGTGCGTACGCGCCCCTTATGCGGCCCTTTGTGGCCCGTACAACAGCAGCACAGCAAGGCTTCACACGCAGAGCTCGAGACCTGGAAGCCCGCGAGCTCTGCACCTCGTAAGGGGGTCTTGGCTGATATTTCATCCTGCGGGGCCCCCCCCCCCCCCCCCAGCGGTTAGTAGACACGTCGGGATATCCTCTCTTGGTGGCGGGGTGCGGGGGGCACTCGCAGCGTAGAAAATTTCAAAGGGGTTTGTATATATCCCCGCCACAGCGGTCTTCCTGTGCTTGCTTGATTCGAAGCCGGGTGGCAGAGGTTACGATGGTTGGAGGTTTCACAATCCCTGCCACCAGACCTGACACCTGTACAGTAGTAGTAGTTGAGATCGCTGAAACTTGAGCTTTACCGCCGAAGTAGGGAACAAAAGCGGCGGCATACGCAACACCAGCCAGTGTTCCTAGACACAGCGCACTGGATATTTGGTGAAGCACCTGTCACCGCACGTGGTTTGCGATGTTTACGCCCACACTCTATAAGAACGATGTCTGTATAACACACAACCTGCCTCGGACTCACCTTGTGGCTGGCGGCAAGTAGGCTGTTCCCCATCGGCCTGACAGTGTAGTGCCGGTTACGCGCGAGAGGCCCGGTGTGTTGGAGTTTCCCCCGCCAAAAAGAGAAGGTGGAAAACGCCGCAGGAGGGCCTAAGGACGATAGTGGACAGCAGCGGCTGTGCCGATCTCGCAGCGTAGCCGTACGTGTTGGGGCAAGTCTAGTAGGCACATGCATTGCCGCTTATCCTCAAGAGGGGCTCGAAACACACTCGACGTGTGTTTGGGAGATTCCGGAAGACCGAATAGTACGAGCTAGGCCATTCCGGGAAACTGTGCCTCAGACAAAACTTCAGTTCGCGATTTCTATGCTACAATGATTAAACCACACCTCTTGTACCCGTTGGATCCAAGGCGACGAGACCCTGCGGACCTCCGAGGGTGTACCCTTTTTTGGTCTTGGCCTGTGTTCCTGAGCGTAATGCGTGTGACTGGTTTTGTGTGTGCTGTCGATACAAACAACAGAAGCTCGATAGGTCAACCGAGCTTCATGCTATTCTTGCGTTCTCGAAAGTAGAGAGACGCAGCACCTCCTGACTTACACGCATCAGAACACTCGTTTTCGTGGCCGTGTGAGTACTACCTGGCGTCTTGACAGACCCCTTTCAGCCGGTAATTTTTGTTCGATAAAAATTGGTTGATCGGCGCGCGTGAAGTTGTCCTGTTCGGGTCACGGCTCCAGCTCCAGTGGATAGCTTTTTCTTGTGTCCTTTACTAAGTGGAACACTGGTGGCCCATGTGGGTGGCGAAGCGTAGTACTGCGGCAATCCCTGGAATACGTGACATGGTAACGTGGCTTTGGTCTGGTGTGGTTCTGGCGCACACCCCTGACACCGGCTCTGCCCCTCCCTTGGATGCGTATATCCCCAGTTGCTGTCTACACGAGTCGACCTTCTGTCGACCGAGTACATCGAGGAGCTTCAGCAGCTCCAGGACAATGTGCCCGGCTTCGGCGGAGCTAAGGCGGTCAGCATCATTGAGAAGGAGCTGGGCGCGCCCATCGATCAACTGTTCGACAAGTTCAACTCGACGTCGCTCGCCGCCGCCAGCCTCGGCCAGGCGAGTGTAACCTGCGAGGAGGCGTGTTGATTTTCGCGGGCTTACAACGGGGTCGATGAACACGTGGCACGTGATACCACCACCGTTCGTGTTGTGCGCGCCGTTGTTTGTTTGGCATGCTAGAGGGCAGAAAAGATCTTTGGGTAGTACTATGTCGAGCAAGTTCCACGTTCCTTGCCGATTTAGTTCTTCCGTCTAAGCCCAGCCCCCTCCCCCAACGAATTCCCCCTTTAAGTGGCCTGAGTGGCGGATTTTACCAGTTTGTCTACGCTTCCTCTCGGTAGAATTCATACTGACTCCCGATGTTCTTCACCACGAAGTATGTCAGGTTTCCGCACGAGCTGCGGTTGGTTTTCGTCCCCGATTTGTTACTTTTTAGGCTCGATTCGCCGCCCCCGCCCCCCCCCTCTCCAAGGCTCCGTGCCGCATTCCTATGCATTTTTATCTACGCTGAACGTATGCAACCTCCTGTGAAACGAGAGTTGCGCGCACCTAAAGTTGCCTTGTCGTCAAGGTGTGCGATCATGTTGTTTTCCCGCCGCCGTGGGCGCGTTCGCTAGAACGAGCGTCGGTAACCAAGCGCACGCACCTCGCCCTCTACCGCTGTCGACCCGCCCTTTGGCCGTCCCCCTTCTCTGTGGAGCAAGGTCGCAAACAACGGCGGGGGGCTATCAGATGACACACACGCTATTGCAAAAAAACGTGCGGCATGTATGATCGTTCGTTGGTTCGTGAAAAACATGCTGATAATTTAGGTGCACGAGGCCTGGCTGGACGGCAAGCGCTACGCAGTGAAAGTGCAAAGGCCGGGGCTCAAGAGGCTGTTCGAGGTGGACCTGAACAGCATCGGGGCTCTGGCGGGGATCCTGGATAGATTCGACCCAAAGCTCGACGGCGCATCCAGGTGAGACTTCTTGGCGTTGTCTTCCCTCTGCTGCTGTGGTAGAGGAAGAGGGACAGCCCGGTCCATGTTTCACAAACGCAAATGGGAAGTCTTTCTCCTGCCGCCGAGGTTTATGGAGGTGCCATGCGGTTGTGGGTGGCGCCCTCAAAGACCGTGTGCGGAACTAAACCGCGGCGTCCTGTGTTTGGGAGGGGTGCGGCCAGAGGTGAATCTAAGGCACAGCGGAAGCTCGTGTTGCATCTAGAGAGAGGGCGGATGAGACACTGACATGGGTTGAGAGCAGCTCTATCATCGTTTGCGGCTGATCTGAGGAGCGCAGCCGATCGATCTCTCGAAGCATGTTCGTTGACAATAAGTTGAGCGTGTTCGCCGAGAAAAGCATGTCCGCCTTCGTAATGCCTCCACCGGCCGTTGAAGCCTAACGCTTATGGCACTCGGTTGGATTGTACTCCGAGAGGGAACCACCAACTTAGAATATGGCTTCGATGCCGCTATCGCATGCAACGGGTACTGCTGCTGTTGTTGTCGAGTTGGCGCACTTCCGGCGATGGGGCACAAGTGGTGCAAGCGGTTGATTTTTGCAAAAGACGACTGACCGCTTCGAAACGGAAATGCAACGGGGCAAGGCATAACTACGCAGCCATTCGCGGCGGGGCCCCGTCGTATGTACATTCACAATGCTAAACAGTGGTACGTACCCAGGGGGCGATGACACCAAAGGGAGAGCCGCATGGTGTCATGTTTGCTTACGTGCTGCTGTAGACAGTTCGCGTTGATCGGGCGTCGTACACGGCACGGACAGCGCGGCCTCTCGTTGGTACGTACGAATCCCACCCAAGGTGGTGTCGGTGTCGTCATCGTCGCGCTTGACCGCCGTGCCGCGTGCGCGTGAACAGGGACTGGGGGGCCATCTTCCGAGAGAGCAGCCGGGTGCTCTACGAGGAGGTGGACTACACGCGGGAGGGCAAGAACGCGGAGAGGTTTTCGGAGAACTTTAAGGGCACGGAGTGGATCAAGGCTCCCGGCATAAACTGGTCTCGCAGCTCGAGCAAGGTAAGGTGTGTGTGTGTGTGTTTTTTTTTTTTTTTTTTTTGTCAAGTCTCCACTCAGGGCTGGGTGCGCTGTGCGGAGCAAAGCGTCCCCCGCGGGCGGGCGTTGTTGTGTTCCCGGTGTCCTGGTCTGTCTTTCAGTGAACCCCTGGGCGTTGGTTTGCTTGCCGCACGCGTGCAGACCGTGTGTACCGTCCCCATTACGCGCAATCCGGAAGACGGATTGCGTTGGGTACAGGCGGTCCTCCTTTGTGAAGTATGTATGGTAAATGTTTTTGCACCTTGACGCTAGTTGTATTCTAGCCTGCATCGATTTTCTGGAGTTTGCTACTGCGGCATCTACACTTTTGTACAATTCGAATAAGTCTTGTGCTCTCGACCGAACTTCCCGACGGCGGCGTGCTGGTTTCGTCCAGAGATGGCCGTCTTGCGCCGCCTGTCGTGTGGACTGTGTCCTGTCCCGCGGATTGCGGCGTGCGCAGCCTGGCGCGTATCCTTGCCTGGAACGCTTGTGTCGTCTGCTTGTTTGTACCGGACGTGACGTGACTCCTATTGGTCACGGCTCTTGCTGTCGACGAATGACGAATCGCTATAAAATGAGGGCGGCGATCGCTAGCAATTTTTTCCCCCTCAAGTCCGTGGTGAACGTTTTGGTTGACGACCGAAAAGGCGATGGCTGGCTGTTGAGATGCCGACTATCAAGTGTGTCAAGTAGGCGGGCGGCGATGGCCAATAGGAATTGCTGGTTTTGTCGAGTGGTAACTCGTGTGGTGAACGTTTGATTGACGGCCAAGAAGACGATCGCTGACCACATTGATGTGTCGGCGATTGCGGCGGCGGTGACGGCGATGGCATTCCACTGTTATTTCAACGCCGCAGGTGTTGTGCATGGAGTACGTGCAGGGCATCAAGATCAACGATGTGGACGCCATCGAGAAGGCCGGGGTGGACCGCGCCTTGCTGGCCACCCGGACGGCCGAGTGCTACCTCGAGCAGCTCATCCGCCACGGATTCTTCCACTGCGACCCACATCCAGGTACGCGTCTGTAGGGCAGGAGAGTTTGGCAGTTGGCTTGGTTGGCGAAGATACGTTGCTCGTTTTTTGTCTCAGCCAAACCCTTAACTTGGATCGATGACGAGGAGGCGTTTATTTTTTAAAACGAATCGTGTGTCGTTTTTTCAGACGGGGAAACAAGCCGAGAACGCGTCGGTTCTTGCGACGGCAGCAAAGAGGCTATTTATATTACGATTTTGATACATCTTTCTCCTATTGGGACGTCCTGTCGCGGGAGTGTGATTGGCCAAGCGTTTTTGAGCACTTCTAGTGGCATCCCACGACCGAAGGTTTCTGCACCTGTTCGTCTACGGATGACACCGACTCCTGGCGATGGCCGACACATGCGACCAGGCATTTATTGGCTTCGTTTCTCTTAGGTTTATCGCCTATTCCTGTCCGAAGATTGCGTCACAGACTCTGTCCACCTTAATGCGTCGTTCTTCCCTTGCGGGATCGCTCGTGCCTTTGTGTCGACACCACGGCGGTCGGCCTATCGACGCGCGTCCTTCGCCTTGAATCGGTCACGTACGTCAAACAGGGAACCTTGCGTGCGATGCGGTGGACGGCGGGCGCATCATCTTCTACGACTTCGGCATGATGGACGAGCTCACGGTGCCGCTGAAGCGGTCGTTTTCGAACCTGATCTTCGGCATCTACGGCAACGACCTCAAGGAGGTCGTGGACTCTCTAGAGGAGATGGACGTCATCAGAAAGGTCAGCTGGTATGAAAATATGTTTTAAAAGACTACTCCTGCGTTGGTGGTGGTGGTGGTGGTGGTGGTAGTCACGCACGGCAGTGTTAAGTGCTCAAGTGCCGTACGCGTGGGTAGCGGACGGCAGATATACGGTCGTGACTTGTGCGAAGCAATGGCGCGGTATTATTGTGGTGCGGTGTGATGCAAATCCGCTTTCGCTTGCTCATGTGCGAGAAACCTTGTTTGATCCTGCGCACCTCTTCCGGCGCCACGCTTGTCGCCAGGGCGCGGACCGCATGACGGTGGAGCGAGTAACCCGGTTCTACCTGGGAGAGTTTCAAACCACCCTCACCAGGGGGGGCAAGTACATCAACCAGCTCGACCCAGAGGAGGAGAAGGCTCTCATCAGGTATGGATACATGCAGTCGAATCGTTTGTCGTCCGTCTTTGCCTTTCGTTGCCGGTGTTGGTTGCTCTTGTTGTGTCATCCTTCGAGAATGGTGTTCGTTTGTTAGCGATAGACGTATGTTCTCACCTTTCCGCTGTTGCTTGGGATTCACGTTGAGCTGCTTGACGGCATAGGCTCTCGTCTCCCACCCCGCGCTGCTGTCTACACTCCGTCTCGAGCTGTCTTGTGGTATGGCACGGCCAGTCTCGTCTCATTTATAGCCCATCTGGCGTTCCAAACAAACAACCAGCAACGCCGGCCTTGGATTCATTAAAACCTTGTGGCCTCTCGTGGCGAGCGTTGCTTCGGGCACGCGCTGAGGAATCAGATCCGTCGCCGATCAGATGCGCGGTATAATGGGGTCCGCGTTTCTCACTGGCACCATTTGTCGTGCTTTTCGTCCGGCGTGAGAGTGACATCTTCGTGTGCCCACCCACCACCACCTCTCGATCTTTCGTGCGCGGGGCTGCTACCACCCTCTGTCGGTTTTGTCTTGGAGTTCTCCACGTCGCGCAGCGAGGGAACCAGCACAAGATGTGGTGTGACGCCCGCGCCCCCCCCCCGCCCCCCCGCGCGCTCGTTCGTCCGTCCGTCGTACAAACAGGCGAGAGCGAGCGCAGATCGGGCAGGACCTCTTCTCCGGGCAGGCGGCAGTGCCCCTTCAGTTTCCCGCGTCGTTCACGTTCGTCTTCAGGGCCTTCACCACCCTGGACGGCATCGGCAAGACCTTGGACAAGGGGTACGACCTCACCAAGATCGCGGGCCCTTACCTGAAGGAGCTGCTTGATTTGAAGGACGGGAACGCATACGTGTCGTACTTGAAGGGCCTGCAGAAGAAGCTGGGTGAGAGAGAGAGAGAGAGAAAGAGAGAGAGAGAGAAGAGACCTTGCAGCATGTCGCCATTTTTGTGGAGTGGTGTATGATCTGTGTGTGTTTTGTGGCCTACTTGAAGGAGCTGGTGGTGGTGGTGGCGGTAGCGGTGGCGACGCACGGTGGTGTGTTGCCGCTGCCAATTCGTGGCTTCTTCTGTTCGGGGGGAGAAGACATGCCGTCGGAGTCCAGGTCTTGCAGCACTGCGGTGTTTTCTTGTTGTCAATGTTTGTTGCTTGTGGTTTTTGCCGATGTCGTGGCCTGTTTTATTGTGTGGAGGCGGAGGTGCAAGATGCCAGGCGAGTCGTGGGGGGAATGGGGGCAGATCGGCACGGCTGCATCTAGCAACCTCAACCTGGACGAGGAAAAACGTAAAGGATGGCCTGCCCTGCGCTCTCCGCACGTGGTGACCCCGTCAGCTATCTATTAGTGAAAAATCATGACATGGCATGATGCACACAGGCCGCCGCCCTAGGCGAGCAGACCGTTTCGCACGTGCGGACACGACTGCTCCTCACACTCCCCGTGGGCTGTCGCGACTTTCAACGCCATAACGAACGGCCTAACGATGGATCTTCTTCTTTTTTTGGCCGCGGATATGTTTTCTCGCAGGGTGGCGAGGCCAAGACGTGGCGAGCGTAGTCCAGAGCCCGAGACGAGTCCAGCACGTGGAGAACGTGGTGACCAAGCTCGAGACCGGGGACCTCAAGCTCAGGGTTAGGGTGCTCGAGTCGGAGCAGGCATTCGCGCGGATCGAGGCCGTGCAGGGCAGCCTGAGCTCGGCGGTGATTGCCACGCTCTTGCTCAACGCCGGCGTCTTGATGGCGGGGCAGGCGGCGGGGGCCGCCACGTTGAGCTCGCGAGCGATGTTTGTGCTCGCCGGGTTCTTCGGGATCCAGATTCCCGTCGGGTACTTGAAGGTGAGAGGCATCGACCGCAAAATGCTGAGCTTTGATTTTTTTTTTTTTCTTAATACGTTCTTGTGGCGAAAACACAACAGATTCATCTCTTCCGCAGATAAGAGTCCGGAGTAGAGTATAGATGATTTATTTGTGTCGTGCAAGTTTTCCCTCCGGAGTGAGCTCGTGAGGGCACAGCAGTGTCATCGAGGGGGGATGCAAGATAAAGTACAAGTAGGCAGTAGGACCAATAGTGTTGTCCAACTTTTTTTTTTTTCTCATCTGAGTGCGTGTGGTTCGAGTATCGTTAGTAGCGTGTTGCGGCCTTTTTGTGTTGGCCTCGCCCCCTCTTGTTACTGTGTTGGCGTTAGGAAAAAGACCTCTTCCATCCGAGAGTCGAGCAGTTGTTTGCACCAGGAGGTCGGGGTAGTCTTTTCTGTGTCTCGAGTAGGCAAGAGCGCTTTTTCGCATGCAGCACTGGTTTTGTATTCACGTACGCTGGTGCTGCTGCGCCTGTGCTGTGGCCGTTCTGCTTGTAGGGCAACTTGTCGCCCCAGCTTGGAACTAGCCAACGCTTCGTTGGTTGCATCGACAAACGTTCTGATCGATCTCAAACGCTATACATACACTTTACAGGGCCAATTTTGTTTGTTCGCCCCGTGTTGCAGGTCAACAAATTATTTAATGAAATGGAGAGTATCTATAGTTCCAGCGCGTACTGACGACCCAATGTCCTTCCGTCCTTGCATTCTTTTGTGCTGCACGGATCTATTGCAGGTCTGGCGGTTGAATCGACAAGCGAGCACATCGAAGGGCTTCCGTTAGCGTTGTAACGTAGCGAGGGGAGTTCTTTTTTTTCCCGCCAGCGCTCGGGTGCGCCCTCCTTTCAGCGCCGCGGTTTTAGCCTCTCCCGCGCGGGGGGAAATTGGCATCGGAGGGATAATAGAGAGGGAAGGTCCAGCTGCCAGGACCGCGTGTTGAAAATTTGAGCCTCTTTGTTTGGTGGTGTTCTTGACTGACAGACCACAAAAGGGCAAGCAGCGTGGTTATACTAGTAGTGCACGTGGCATGGCACCGCGCGAGGTGTGAGGTATTCATTCGTTATTGATAGACTTTGGGACCCCGGACACGGGGGTGGGTAAAAAAGTTGCCCGTGGATTGATTTTGATCGTGGGGCTACGCACATGGCCTCTTGGAGCCTCTCAGGCAGTGGTACTGGTCGGGCGGGGGGGGGGGGGGTT